TATATTTGACCTTGACCTTAGAGTTTAAAACACTTTGTATAAAATGTTAACCTTTGCCATAACTTGTGAAAAGACCCTCCTCTTGATATCAACAATTTGACTTTTGACCTTGGAGTTTGACTTGCATTTGAGAAACTTCACCCTTCGCCACAAGCAGCCATTCGGGGTAATCAGCGTTTCACTAACACATCTTGTTATCCTCGCATTTCTTTGCTTCTAATTGGACTTTTGCGAGGAGCGCTGACTTTTACAGTTGACGGCTTACTTTAACACTAGGACAACCGTGCGTACGGAAGCGTTTTCTACTATATATATAGCTCAATATTTCATTCAAGGATAATAACGGGTTATTTCAATACACATATAAGTTGTCCTTGAAGAAAAAGACAACCACTCTACCCTCAACTCCTGGTCTTCACATGTCAGTGCCACTTACACCATGTTTATGACCACTAGAAAGGTTTTCTCATCTATTGTCAATTCTGTACAGTGCTTCCCGCAAAAGTCCATTAGACAATATATCTTCACGTATCAGTTTTGAGGTTATTTTTTATGCTTCTATGAATCCTTTGCAATGTCATTTTTGTACTCAGGTGACCACGATATGGCCCGGGGCTCTCTCTTTTTTTAATTAGAAAATTATATTGTTTTTGTAATAAATTGAAAACGGTTTGTCCGAAATGATGAGAGTTTTTCAATATTTTACAATTTTTTGCAATTGAAACTTAACACCATATTGTATATTAAATTCCTAGTAAAGCAGAAAGATTGTCTAAAAACGATATATATGCCAAAGAATCGTGCAATTCTCAGTTTCATTAAATCTGTTTAAGAAAAATAGCAGACAAACAATATGCAATAACATTTGTGTTTACTGGAAATTTCATTTTATATAGATACTAAAAGCCACAATTAGTTGAAGTGTCTTTCCGAGTCCCAAGCTTCAGACAAGATTCTAGATGACCTTGACCGTACGGCATATTTTTTGAACCATGCAAAAAGCTGCTGAAAAATGAGATTCAGAGTTACATATACATCTCTCTAGCAGTGAACTGAAAAAAATACGTGGGTTTTAGTCGCATTTAATTAGAAGCAAGATCTGTGAGGAATTTGACCACTAATTAACATGTGAACGTCATCCAATCTCAGGGTGTCGGTGGACAGGAAGAAAGTCAATTAATGAAACTTATTGGAAAGCTTGTACTATTATCCTTTTTTACTTTTCACTTAAGGTTTTTTTGTTGTTGTTTTTTAAGTAAATGCTTATAGATTACGGTCTAAAATTTCTGAGATACCTATTCTTGTTAAATTGTAAAAAATTCAGTTTCGTTTAATTAAAAAAAAGTTCAGTCATGTAAACTAAGCAGATTAAATTAATCAAGAGAAACTCTAGCGGTGGATCGTCCTGGAAACAGATACAGTATAGTGCACAAAACGGAGACCTCCGGGGTGTTGAGGGAAGCTGTTCGTTCAACATTTTTAACCATAAGTCAGTGCTAGTATCAGCGACGGGCTGGGGTTTATGTACAATCAATTGAGGTTGGATTTCCGATTTTACTGGATAAATTAAATCCATATACACGACACCGGTGTACCGAGACCAGTGTAATGAAATGATACGGGATGTCGGAATTCTGAAGGTAAATCTCTCTCTCTCTCTTTCTCTCTCTCTCAATGTAAATTAATAGAATGAATCTATCGATTTTTGCCTATCTTTCATTATTACGTTTTTTATGATACATGCCGTAGTTTAGTTCGTATATTAGTGCTTTCGTGTTAGTTATATATATATATATATATATATATATATATATATATATATATATATATATATATATGTTTATTTAATTAAAAAAAAGCCCACAGGGGGCATGTAAACTAACAATTATTTCAAGAGAAATGATAACATTGATTACAATTCTATATTAAGGATAATGTAACATGACTTGTGATTAAGTTTGACATTGAGAAGTGCATCACCACACTGGATCAAAAGCATAGAAACCATAGAATGATAAAAGAAAACACAATTAAATAAAAATGATAGATATAAGGTAAATCTCTCTCTCTCTAGTAATCTCTCTCTCTAATATAAAAATAGTGCATCTTGAATACAAAGGGCACCAGGGGATGATACCTCTACACAGCCAGTCTGGCAAACCTGTACCCTAAGTATTGAAGATATATTTAATGTATGTGTTGTATTCTGTAACATGAAAAAAAAGGAATTGACTGTATTTGAAAGAACAATCCTTTCTTAATGGCTCTATTATAAGAACTTCGTATATTGCATAGGCTGTGCTCTTCGTCTTATAGTTATTTAACGTATGTATTGTAATATGGAAAAAAGAATTCGATACCTGCATTAAAAAGAAAAAAACCTCTCTAATATAGTATAGGAACTGTTTTACTCAGGAATCTCAGAATTTTATCTTTATTTTGGCACTCTCTTATCACGATAAAAGAGAAAAAAACAATTTCTGAGATAATTAGGGTACATCAATAGGTTCCAAAATCTTCACCTTCAGATATGACAGGACTGATTATGTTGAAAATCTTAATAAATTGATCTTTAACCTTAATGTCCGCGCCCATAAGAATGCCAGATAAACAGAAATTAAATCTATAATTGCAACACCCACACACGTTAATGAATTGTGTGGCCTTAGTTAGGTCACTTGTGGCCCAATTTATATCTTGACGTTAGCATAAGTAACATTAATAAATTATGAGATTGAACAAAGTGTAAACATTCTCTCTCTCTCTCTCATAGTATGTATGTGCTCTCTCTCTCTCTCTCTCAGTATGTATGTGCAATCTTTTGACAGCGGGATAGGTTTAATTAACGCAGTTTCCCACGTCTTTTTGAAATCTCATGTTTCCAGTATTTTCAATCTAAATGATCAGGTTTAAGTGGTCTTCCTTCAGTGATTCTCAGTTGTAATTGTTCCTGTCCTAGCACGCAAAATTTCACTAAATGGGGACAAAAATGTTTCTCGACAGGACAATATAACGTGTCTTGAGCCAGTGAAGGGGATTACATGTACTTCTAATAAATCACATTTGGATCAAAACAGGGACAAACTTTGAGCTATTTACACATTCCACAAAAAATTGTCTGTATGAAAATACGTGACTGTATATATATAATTCAGAACCTACCGCCCATCACTGTTTTATCAACAGTTTCTGTCATACTTGGCATAGCCAATACGAAATATTTACATTTTTTTTCATTAGTTATATTCAATTATTTAACACCAAAAATATTGAAATCGCTGAAAAATCCTCTTAACCGTGACGATTTTATCGTGAAAGGGGTATACTAGTAGTGCTTGTGTATATTTAGAGAGAAATTCTGTGTCTTTGATTTTCGTGTTCGCTTCTTTAAATAATTCTTTTACTGAAAAAAATGTAATATTTCACATAAAATGGAGAAAGGACTGGTAGAGGAATATGGAGAACAATCCAGATTGGTAAGATACAAAGTTGATACAGAATTTAAATGAAATGGATTCGGTTTCAGCAGTGGTATTATATATATTTGTTTATTTTTGTTCCCAGTATTAATTAGTTATGAAATAAAAATTGTTAATGTTGGTTATCAATTACATCGACATCAAAAAGGATGTCCATTTGTTGTACCCGAAGTTTCAAGTGACCAGAGGTGATGCTGACTTTAACTGTCAATTGTCAATGCAAGATGTCGGATAAGTACTACTTGTGTGGATTTAAAGTTAAAGAAATCTGGACTAAGTTGTCGTCCGATTAATAGTGGTCATAAATGCGGAATAAGGCCTTTTCTTAAATTTTATATGTATAAATTCAACAAATAACAATCATGAAAACTTTCATTGTAATAATGAAATCTGAAAATTAATTTTATGACTAGTTTAACAATGCAGACTACATGTACAAGATTAAACTGGTACAAATGAGAGTCCTTATGGCTGGTGGGTTTGAAGTTCTGCTAAGTTAATATTCTAACAACCATATTATAATTGTGGCTGTGTTTTGATGAATCACTGCTTGAAGTTAAAACAAATATATGTAATGTTTTGTACTTCTAAGCTATCAAAGATATTTTTTCATCTTCTAAACGAGAAAAAAATACTGCATAAATTGAGTGTATTATATACATCTCTCCCTTTGGCATTTATACCAAGGTCAATTTCTGGAAATGGAAAAATTGCCAAAATAAACAATGATACATAAAATTCAGCATACACTAGTTTTATTTGCATATAGCAAAATGCCATTGAAATAAATATGTACATCTTCTTCCCTTTCGTTTTAAAAAGGTCGGACGACATGTTCGTAAAAATATATAATTTTTCCCAAGAATTTGTCGTTGAGGTATTGTTAATTTAACAACTTCTCTCACGGAAAACTGGGTACCTTACCAGGCATTTGTTATGATTCCTATTCCTACTCTTGAATTCATTTGAATTGTCATTATTACAATTTTTGTTATTTTTTCTAAAACATATTATAACAGTTTAGAAATCAAAAGATAATGTAAATTTTATGCTGTTTTTATTACATTACGAGAAATAAAACATATTTGAGGAATTAACGTGTCATCAGACCGTAAACATTCTATATATAAAAACCCAGCACGTTAGATTTCAAATGTTACATCTCAAGGGGATTATTATGTTAGAGTAAATAAATTTAACATTATAATCAACAGCTTAATAATTCAATAATTGCGTGAACTAGAGGTTTATCCTAGATATAATCCTATAATCCATAACACCTGCATAAAGGCAATTAAAACCTATTCAACTATGCATAAAAAAATGGAGCATGATACTTGTAGTTCAGTTGTTAAAACTGGACGGTTGGAAATAAACTGGATTATAATTTACTAATGCTTATCTGGGCCAAAATTTGTAAAATAATAAACATTCAGACTGTTTGTTTACATTAAAGACTGAGGAAGACAGTGACATTTCAGGTTTTTTCTTCTTCCTGTCCAGCAGCATACAAATAGAAGAGTACAACAGATTATCATATCCTGTTTCTGAGTGTTTCCTTTTGATATTTTGCTAGGTCGGATATACTTAGGTTTGTTACAAGGAAACAGAGAAGATTTTTGTAAACATGAATCTTTCCAACTGGACACATTTAGAACTTGGTGAGCATCACCACAACGAGTCCCGTATCAGGATGGCGTCTATGGTGGTTCCATCAGTCATGTTTACAGCAGGAGTACTTGGGAACAGTTTAGCTCTCCTAGTGTTGTACAGTTCCCGCAAAGAGCAAAAACAATCTGTATTCTATCGTCTTGTGGGAGCTCTAGCAGTCACGGACCTGTTTGGAACGTGTGCCACTTCGCCCGTCATTCTGTTAGTGTACGCCAATGGACTGAAATGGCAGGGTGGACAACCGCTGTGCAATTATGCTTCGTTTATGATGATATTTGCAGGACTTTCAACGATGTTCATCTTGGCAGCAATGGCGTTTGACAGATACCTCGCCCTAAATCGCCCGTATTTCTACACTTCTCATGTCAATCCTACCCGTGTCAAGTACATATTCCCCATCTTACTGACCGCCGCCCTAGTCATGGCTTGTCTCCCTTTGATAGGGGTCGGGGATAACGTTCACCATTTCCCGGGGACCTGGTGTTTCTTTGACTATTACGGGACTACAGTGCGTGTGAAATCGTTCGCCATTCTTTATAGTTTATTGGGACTAACTGTGCTCACCATGATAATTATACTGAACTTCGTGGTTCTCAAAACTGTCTGGTCACTTCATCGTAAGGCATGCGAGATTCAGATGGTGGTCTTTTTGGTTGGGATTCTTACCGTCATCTGTGTGTGCTGGGCGCCGCTTATGGTAAGAATTTCTTTTTCTGCAATTTGGCAAACTTTTATTTTAACGTTGTAAATGATAAGATTGATTCAAGTTTTCGATAGAATTACAAGAATGAGTGATTTGTGTCTTGGATAGAATTAAGAAAATGATTATTAACATCATTGTGGTCATTTTTCTATTGCACCATATCGGTAAATTGCTAGTACTTTTACATTATAACGCGACTGATGTTCATTCTTATGTTGCAAGAAAGATCTATTTTTTAAACTGACAATAAACTTGCCAATTATTGAATTCTTGAAAATGTTGCATCTGTTAGCTTCACTAAAACCGTTGATTCCTTTTGTGTCACTGTCAATAATTGCATTTGGAGTTGTAATACACAAGGAAATAACCTGGTGTCAGTATGAAAAATTCATATAGTAATCTGAGTTCCAAGCTTAAGGAAAAAAAGAAGAGAATGCGCTGATCGGGGGGAGGGGGTCCGAAGGGCTTTTTAAGGATTGGAGGAACCATAGTGAGTTATGATTTAAAATTTAATTGTAAAAACTCATAAGCTTCTTGAGAATCACCCGGATATGAAAGTTTTACACACAGAATGTATAAATACAATATAGACTTTTGGACCTCAAAATAAATGGGGGGGGGGGGGGGCTTTCTTAAGCCATAGGGAGGTGTCATTGCAAAAGCTCAAAGGCTTCTCGAGATATCGTATATGGAAATGAAAGTGTTTCAAACAACAGTGTTTTTGAATGTATGACCTTGATTTTTGACACCAAAACCACGGAATATCGCATGGATACGAAAGTACTACAGACAGACAGACGGATCGACAGACCGAAAAGAATACCCCCCCCCACTTTAAGCGGGAGTACATAATTCAGTTGAAGGCAGAAAAGACAGGGAATTTTCTTTATTCTTTTTCTAAAACGGAAGTTATTATAACGGTTGTAAAAATCTTTTTATCTTTTGGGATTGTGCATTGACTTTGAGGGGAAAAAATGGATATTTAACAAAAAAAACTTGGTCAGTATAACAGTTGATTTCTGTCACGATTTTATTTTTGGTCAAATTAACCTCGCTTGGTGTTTTGAATAAAAGTCCATGCCATGGATTCGCAAGATCTTCCACCTATCTACATATCAAATTACTGGGACAAACAAACTTTTTACAGTGCCTTTTAACGTCATCCATCGACGTATGTTGAATGATTGCATGATATGACATGATAATTATGTCATAATTAATTATCATTTTTTTATATAACAGATTCGAGTGTTTTTAATACAGACGGGCTTCAAAGAAGAGGACGTCATCCAAGATTTAATATTCATCCGAATGGCATCATTTAATCAAATACTGGACCCATGGGTGTATATTTTATTCCGTAAAACTTTATTCACCCGACTAGTTCAATTTATCAAAGTTCATTTATGTTTACCGAAAAAACAGTTTGATTCCAAACGACCAGGCATACAAGATTCCGAAGAGATAAAACGGTTAAAGCAAACAGAGGCGGAACAGTACCACAGGGAGGCAAATGGCCCACTTTGTAATGAATCCACGGGAACCGTACCTTCTTGTGAGGATTACTGAGGGTCAGGAATCCAGTACTGACGTTTTATATACTTGCTCTAGAGCATAAAACAGGTGCGTGCATGTTATTGCACTGAAAAGCTCAGGTAGCCGAAAGATTGTTCTCCAAACATGTGTTCATCAGTGACATTTTATTGTAAAATAATTCAAAAAAAATAAATAGATAAATCATACAAAAAAATAAATAACAGGAAATATCTATGGATTTTGTAGTAATTTGCTGTGGGGTTACCCCCTGGTCGTTTGTACTCGGTCATCATTGGATCCTCTGTGATATAAAAAAGAATCGCTTAATTGTTTACTGAGCAACAGATTGTCATTGCGCTATCAGGCATTCATCATCGACAGGACTTTGAATTATGTAACGTTATAGGCCCAGCAGATGACTGATTCGACTGCTGAGATATAATAATACAGGCAATCCATATTGAGCGGTCCAAGTCATACGGAACCGTGACAGGTTGGACACAAGTCAATATCAATTTTTATCACACATTTCCATATACCGTAGTGTTTAAATGTTCCACGACGGCGTCATATAGGTAGCTGTATTGCTCCTGGAAATTTAATAATGCAAATAAGTTAACGAATATATCAATGTAATTGAATTTTCTTGAAAGAATCGATTTGTATATCTTTTTGATAAATTACGTGTACTTACTACGGATTCAATGAACTGTGGTCGTCGAATGTGGATTTTGCGCACAGTGTGGAAAACGTCGACCTTTCCTTCTATGTTGAGACGGTCCAGGATAAGGCTAAGAGCGCAATACAGACCACTGCATTTGGCACCATCCCTAAAAATACATGAAATTCTTGATTATAACGTGAACACTTTTAAAAGTTGGAATAAAAGTAGAAAAGAAAATTGTTATTCCAATGTCCTTAAATCTAACAAATTTGCATAACCACACCATTGCTTATGGCATACAGAACTTTTTTTTTCTTTTTTCACTACCGCATATCTTTATTGATATTGGCACTTCAGTAATAAAAGCTTCTTTTTTAACACTTCAAAAGGGTTACATGTTTAATTCGACACGGTTCTTACAATATTTAGTTAAAACAATATCTGTGTAATCAATCATCATAAAATTGGACAGTGATTGAACATCAGAACACACGTAATTGCTACAAATGACAATGATTAAACTCGGTAATTATACGCCTAAAGATTTCAATGATATTTACGTATTGTAAATCAATGGACCACTTACTTGCACATGATCAGTACACGACTCGTGGACACTACCGTCTGCTGTACTTCCCTGATGACAGAAAGTATCGTCTGCAAAGATTGTGGAGTTTCCCGCTCCACCGGCCAGTCGCCCAAGTGAAAGGAAGTTACTCCCCTTGTTTCCCCTGACCCCTTTATAACAGAGAACATTTATTTATTTATACCAACAGACGCTGCAATCTTTATTTTTAATAAGAATATTAAATTTCATTATGATGAAGTGTCTACTTTGACTTAGGTTTCTTAATCGAAGAGAAATTCTTTGATAAGGACAAAAGGAGAATAAATATTATTATCAATTATTAAACGGGGTCAAAATTATTAAAAGGTGGTACGACTACAAATCTGATGAGGAAGGAATCCCTTTTTTTCCAAGGCAGGATGAATTCTCTGCATTAAATATTACTATAAACCTGGTGAAAATCATTCTTAAGTCACAATTGAAAAACTTAGTCCTTAACCAAGACAACATTTTCCAGACCTAAAAATATGAAGGCCATATAATATACACCGTTCCAAAATGTTTAAAAATTTTGAATGTACATGATCATGAGATGGAGATTAACAAAAAGCTAACGGTTTAATAATTCATTAAATTTTAAGTTTGTAATATGATAGTGTCGCTGCATGTGGCTATTAAGATTTTTTTCCGGGAAAAATAATCAAATTCTCTTAAATTATTGATAAGCAAAGCTATATTGTCATATTATCCACTTACAATACTCTCAACAATGTAACTCTGCGCACTTAATAATTATTGATACGAACCCAAGGTCCATAAAGATTGTTTACTGTATAACATCACATCGATTAAAATTTGTCATTGTATTAGTACAATGTTGAGAACAACTTTATGTATTTGCCAATATAGGAAATGTTGATTAAAGGCAAGTCTTTACCCATTTATATACATGTGCATCTTAAAGGGTTCGTTAACATATACCCAGACTGACATAGTTTATGTAGAATGCAGTAGTGCTCTAAAGTTAATGTTATCTATTTTTTGTACGTTTTCTTTTAGAAAACAATATAACGTTCTTTGAACCGTTCATTATCGTAAAAAGTTCGTTAATTAAAGAAAAATAGGGAAGAGTCATTATAAAAGTCAGATGTGCCGACCTTAGATACCTTTTTATAGATCTGAATAAATTTGGACGTATAACCCTGGTGCTGCTGCTCTACCGACGCCATCCGTACATAAAGAGGTCCGTAACAAACCGTCTCTCCTTCTAACGGCCACCAAACAGCTGACCACTGCAAGGTACATATAAAACCCATTAAAATCCCTTTAAAGTATTATATTTTTGTAATCAAAACCTTCCTATACAGGGTTGATTTCTGATTTTTATTACAAAAAATATATTGAAAGTAACCAATCCAAAACAAAAAAAAGCATCTAGAAGAATGGTACCCAATGCCACTCAAGTGCACACTGCAATTTATAGTTTCAGAAAAATTCCTTTAATTTGGGCCACCAGATGGTCCTGTGTAGCCTATACCTCTTTCTGGTTGTCTGGGGAGTTTAGGGACACGATGACATCAATATCGTGGTCATAAACAAGACGCCAAAGGTCAACTATCGTGTCCGGTAGGGGGCTCTGTGTAACAATGTAATCCATGCTTGGCTTCAGAGACTGGAATGATAAAAATTTCTCTGTAAATTATTAATACCCAGTTCCGTTTTCGTTGTTACCTTAACACATTAAGACTTGCGCCTTTTTTCAAATTAATCTTTTCTCTTTGTTTTTCATTACGAAAAGAAATAACACTAAAGAGCTTGTTACATAATGACAAAGCACAGGAACATTAGAGGAGAGCAGTAAGCTAATTTTCCTCTCGTTTCCCCCAAACTCATTATACGAAGAATTCCCAGGTTTCTAGTTTTTACAAGTTTTGATAAACATAAGTGCTGTAATAATTCAAACAATGTGATCAGATCCTAGGAAATAGCTTCCGTGGTAATACAAATATTGCTCGTTCCCAATTGATCTTCATTAGCTTCAGTCAAACGTCGCAATCATCATCCGCGAGAGAGGGGTGCTAAGACTTACTGGGATAATGACAGCATTGATGTAATCGCTCGTCCCGGGGACGTATGTGTTCAAATAAGGCCGAAATTGATCCACTGCAATTAAAACAAACAGACATGATGGCACATGGTCTCATTTAAGTCCCATTAGTCGAAAATGACCGCGGAATTGTCCGGTGTACTTACCGGCGAGGACGTCAGGCGATTGGTTCTTCTGTTGGTTATCGTCTGTTATGGCGGCTGTCCAGTCCATGGATACATACTGAGGTTTACTGTCATTGAGAATCTGAAGATGACGCAAACAATATTATAATGGACAGAAACAGGGCTTCAAGCTTCATATTCTATTTTGATCAAGGTCAAAAGGTCAAGCTCAAAGATAATTTCACCTCTTTTTCAAGTCAAATTCAGGAATTGAAACAATTATAATCATAGGAATCATAAGACTTATTTTTAAGACGTTTTACATGGTGTTGATGCCAAGTTGTCAGAAGAAGAACTTTAGCAAATCACAGCTGTTACATATTTTTTTTAAAAAGCCCATTAACTTGTCAGTGTAAACATTGACGTTTAAAATGTTTCTGACAAACGCTGAATAAAAAATTAATGATTGGGATGGGGGAAAACATATCGAATTGCTTAAAAAACATTTTAAAGGATTAATGCAAACAAATGATCATGCTTTTTCTAAATTTGCACAATTGAGGTACAATGAAATTAGCGTAATTTTGAAATATGAGACCTTTTCCCTGTGGAAATAACTCAAACACCTTCATGAAAATAAAAGTGCAGAAAATAAAAATAATAGTTTTTAAAATGAATCGATTATAATGATATAAAGAACATAAAGTTATTAATAAAAAAAAACAACTCACTTGGAACTCCTCATACAAGAGGCGGGGTTTTTGTCTGCAAATTTTTCTATAATAGTCCATGAACTCGGATTGTTGGACTGAAGTCTCGCGATATGTGAACGCCTCTAAGAGAGCGAAATGTAACAATCTGTACTGATCCTGAAAAAATATATTAAAGCTACGTTAAGCCTTATTTCAAAAAAATATTTCTATTTCAAAAATTGTATTCATTATTTCTTGAAAGTAATGAAAAACACCAACCACATTTTGTATCATAGACATCCGGCATTCTCGCATTCTTTTAATGTAACCTAGAATTTCTACAAACTGGATTTTCAGTCCATGACGATAGAGGGCGTCTAAGGCAATAAAAGTACCCGTGCGACCAACGCCTGCACTACAAAGGGAGATAATAATTCAGAACTTGACTTGATACCATTTTTAGAATAGAAACACACACACACACACAAGCAAAAAAAAACTGTAAAGTGTAATACATGTATGAAAAAAGTAACACGCAGGCAAACAAATAGCAAAACTTCAGCACACACCTGCAATGGACTAACATTGGACCCTGTCCATACAGATCACATGACTGGACTTGTTTCAGAAAATGAACCAATTCCAATGTCTCTGGAATTCCATGGTCTGGCCAACCTGTAAAGTGGAACTGTCGGATTTGTCTCCCTTCTCCCTAAAAATAATCCAAAAATATACAGGTGCCCTTTCTCTATGTATTCGCCCAAAGTAATTACATAAATCGGCTTAATAAAGTATGTGTAGTTATTTTGTACCTTGTATGAAATTGTAATTTGACGTAAACTATAGTTGGCGAAGTCTTTAGCGGATAGAAGATTGATTTCCAGACACCCAAACGTCAAGGGTTCGCAAGTTTCAGGCCAGTATTTCTCGCACTTCACCTATAAAAAATGTTTACATTCATAGTACAATAAAGAAACATTGGAACAAACGCCAAGGCTTCAAAGATCCCTGTTTCTGTAAAATTCGGAAATGCATAAAAAACAATCATATAAATCTATTCCGACATTGTCATTCTTTGTTACACAGATACGTTGATGGTAATAAACATGTAAAATCTATTTTTAGGGCAACATCTTTCTAATGTGTTTATAATAATTATTAATATGAAAATTTTAGTATTTCATAAGTAAAATTATATGGAATGATGATTTCCACACAGGAAAGTGATCACAAATTGCAAGGATCTACATGTAATAGCAGTTCTTCATGATGAATGCGTATTGAAATATTTCATTAAATTTAAAATGCGTTCCAAATTTAACTTTCGCACAAAATATTTCAAGCGGTTTATTAGAGATTAGCCTTTTTTAATTGTTGAATTTTGATAAACAACCTATAAATATTCATGAGAGTAAAGCGAAGTTTTGTGCATACGAAAGTGCATTCGCAAACATGCCGTGGTTAAAACAAAAGGAGCTGCAATTGACGAAACGTTGACATCTAAGACCGGAAATGATGGATACGGGATGGGTATAAAAATGAAACTCCTCTTTCAAATAGAAACGGGTATCATATTGATAAGTTCTTGTGCATTTTGGGAGTCATTTTTCCAATTATTATTTCATCAGATGAATAATGAATTAGTGGCGGTTAGGCAGGTTCGATCGCCGGTAGCTAGATTGCTTACTAAGCAAATGGCAGAGCACCCGGCTAAAACAGATTTTCAATAAAAGCAACTTATGATTCACTGGGGGGTTGATACTCGGTCCAGCCTTATATTTTCTTTATTCATTTTTTTTCTTGCTACATTTGATCAATCGTACTACTAATTAATAACATAGAGAGCCCTGGTACGAGTGCTGGTCTTTTCCGTCGCATTTTCCTCCTTACACCTGAAGCTGTGATTTGGCCCACAAGTGATATGTAAATAATCTGCCGGGAAAGACTGGGCCGTCGATGTCTTCGGAGGCAAATGCTTTCAAGGAGTTGGGAATTTGGAAATCGGACAGTTTCTATAGTAATGTATCCAGAAAGAACAGTTGATAACTTGGTACTGCACCATACTAAGAGATTCTAGGGGACTGGGTTCGAATCTAGACCTGGTTCGTTTTTTAAAATTTTGTTTACAAATTACGTACAATGAGTGCAGTTCTCAAAATCTGAAAAAACCGATAGAAATAACCTTAAAGCTTGACCTACCTTGCCGTCTTCTATGATATTGGACAACATTACGATTTGATGAACGTTCTCTTGCCAAACCATTCTCCAGAAATCCACGATGGTATTAGATTTTGGGCCTAAAATAAATGTTTCATAAATTGCAAGTCAAATCCTTTAATATTTTTTACATCAAATTTGTGAAAAATACATAACTAAAAATAAATCTACATTCCATATTATAATAATAATGCATTTTGATTCAATTCTATTAGTGCCAAAAAAAAAAGAAAGAAAGAAACTATACCTTGTGTCGCTATATATTTCTTTCGTTCATCCATGCTCTGAAATATAATGAATTCATTTTTTCCGAAAAAAAAATGCATCAGAAAATTATTTTTATTTAATGTTCTCTTTTTTTATTGTATACTAGTAAATATGTTGAACATGAATACCGATCACTTCGTAAAGAATTTTCTTAAAAATTTAACATGTGTAAATGTTCAATCCTTTCTGTTTATCTGGAATGTATGTACACTGTACAGTAATGTACATTGTACAGTATGGATGACTGGTACATACGTCTATATAATTAGCATTGATATAATTTGATCCACTTCCTTCCTTCATAAATGTCAAAACAACCCTTGAATGGTCATCTGTAAATGAAATTAGAGAAAATTTAGAAAATTATGATAATAACAGTTATTACATGAATAAATATTACATGCCATACGAAATGTCAAAAGTTATGAGACCTACACGGAAACGTGGTCAGGAACCGGTTCTTTGACTTATTTTCCTTCTTCTGACCTTCCACGTGGAGGAATCTTGGACAGTCCTTAAGTTCCTGGATAACAAAATGTTGAATTAGGGATTGAAGCAGAGAAGAACACTTATTTTACAAAATGAAACTTAAGGACATGCTATTTAATGAATCAAATCTTTTATAAATACATGAATACAAGAATACATAAATACAAGACTCAAAATCATAGTAATGTCAACCATACTTCAGGATCCCAAGAAAGATAGCAGCCGATTTGCAAATTATATAAACATACTAGTTATAAACCCCACCCCATGTTTTCTAAGAGCTGTAAATCTGATGGACAAATATAGAGGTGTATAAAACTATTGGTATTTTGGAGATTAGTGTTAGAAGTACTAACATCGAACTGTGTCTGGTATTTATCGGGGTTGGCCTCCATGGAGTGTATGTATTCGTTGAGTTGGTTTATGTTGACGCCCCTTTCTATATTTAAATTATAGTACACGGCAGAACTAGCGCTGATCCGGAAACTCTGATTCTCTAGTTCCTCCAGATTACCAAACATCACTGGAAAACGAGTCGAACACTTGCAATAATCAATTTAAGAATATTCAAGATTAATAGCAGGGACGGTGAGGGACCTATATACTAACGATTCAGTACCGGTATATGGGTCCCTGTAAATTGCAACAACAATTGCATCAATTTTGATTTCTCAGAGTTTTCCAGAACTTTTATTTTAAAGCAAAAATGTCTAACCGTTTGCATAATGGGCGTTCATATTCTGGTCTACAGAGGAATTTACTTGATTCTTTTCCTTTCTCTTTCTGTAAAAATGATACGATAAAAAACACATATACATTACTTAACATGACGAAAATAACAAAATTAAATCGTTTGAACAGTGTTTTTTGGAACTTCGCAAACATTATACCTGATGAAGAAAACCACTAAGACAACAAGCAGTATAGCGAATACAGCGCCACCTGCCGTCCCTCCCACCACAGCAGTCATCGGCGCCATCTGCTCCGATTTGGCGGAAATACCTTAATAAACCATATTTATAACAGTTTGTTGAAATTGATTTATGTGAACTACAAGTCTACAATATTTAAATATGTATTGTTACTTAATTCAATAATAAGCATTTTCAAGAATTCCATATACTAGTATTCTTTACATTTTTCGCCGATGTATCCGTCCCGGCACCCTTCAGGACAGATCCCGTCTTCCGGAACACAAGTACTATTTCCAATACAATGTCCACATTCATTCAAACACTCTTCTCCGTAAGTATTCAAAGGACAAGCTGAAACATTAGAGAATACTTTCTATAAACTAGTGTGCTCCATGGAAAGCATGTGTCGCAAGCATCATTAAAGACAAAATTTTAGCGTTTTTTAATATATTCGATCAATGCATACTATCTCTGCAAGATATATTATTGTTTTCAGCGGCAGCTCACACAAATTGGTCCGACCAAAATAGTTCCATCATGATTAAGTAGATACAACAATATTTACATTTCCAATGTCTTTGTCCGAGATAAATTTACCAATTGTAAATGTAATTTATTTCCTCATGAATGTCTTGGCGCGGTTCCAAAAAAAAAAACCCACGTGCAGGGCGGGACAACACCTAGAGAGAAGCAGGCTTGGAGCCCGTGGATTGGCGGAATCAAAGCATGTAAATATAAGGAATAACTGTCTTATTTTTCGAATTCATGAAGATGATCAATGGATTGGCTTGTGTGATAATTTTATGCATAAACGCCTTCGGCGTTTATGCAAATTATCACACAAGCCAATCCATTGATCACTTCATGAATTCGAAAAATAAGAGTTATTCCTTAATTATTGTTCATGATAAGAGTGAAGTTGTGTATTTCATATGTTAAAGAAATCAAAAATAACGTCAAAATATTTTGAAAATCACTTTCCCCCCGAAATGCAAATAAAAAATATCAATATTCCTACGCTCGCTCCCTCCTCAGCCTTTTTTTTTTTACATGTTTGATAATAGAGAATATTTAGGTCATTCTTCGATTCATATTTTTTCACCGATGAATTGATAATACTATATCAACAATTGTATTAAGTACATGTTTATAGTCTGTTAATTATCATACAATTTCCTTTTAAGAAAAAATAAATCATTCTGTGTGTGTATATTATTAAATGACGGAATTTTCAATCCCTGGCTGGATTCTACTCACGTGTGTACACTTTGTAAACTGTAGGGGATAAAATGTGTGGCAAAACGAGAACTGGGTCGGACATTCGGGTTCGTGTTGGAGTTCAGCATAGGCTTACCATTTTATATAGAACTTGAATAATGTAAGTAATATCTGCGACGAATACATTAGCATATTTCAGTAATTTTCAAAACAAAAAAGGTTTTCAGTTTAGAATTTTCCGATCCGGTCTTGATTTTCCTAACACGGCCATTTTAAACACAAGTTGTTGCAGATGCAAATGTTAGAACAAACTATATATAGTTCAACAGGGATTGTATAATTTTTATTAATCAGAATTCGTATTCATATGATCTAATTAAGAAAAGAAAAGTTTTGTCTGCCATCGTAACTTCTCGGCAAAACAAAACGTGTTCCTCCGAGCTCGCTGGATGCGTTTAACAGCTCCATCGCACGTGTGTAGATCAAGGCTAATGTTGGTCTTGCGGACACAGGTTCATGTAGGCCTATGTGTACCGCTTGTTAGGAGACTGGGTGACCTCACCATGCTCACGAAATTTACACCAGTTCCATAACTAGGCCCTAGACATTGCAGTTTTTTTATTAACGTCATTATAAACACTGATAAGCATATTAAATCTAAAAGTCGAATATCTTTGGATATGGGGTAACCCATATCTATTCTTGTTTATTTGCATACTAATTGCAGGAGACCAAAAAAGGTGGGTTTTATTGAAACTAAATTCTTGTTCTTTTTGCTTTTTTTTGACAACTTCTTTTAAAACCGAAATTACGTATTTTGGCAACTGATTTTAAAAATCGAAATTTGTTTTGTGAATTAAATCCTGTCTGGAGAACGTTAAATGAACTAATCAGAATTAGATTTCTTAATGTATTTACTCTCTGAACACTGCATTCCTATCCATCCTGCTTGACAGCCATTAGAACATTCCCCGGTCACGTGATCACATGGTTGACCGTCTTTACAGGGACCGCAAATATTGATACACTGATCCCCGAACATCCCCGGAGTACATTCTGAAAGCGTATTAATCAAAACACGGAATTCAATCAGTAAATCTATATTCCGATTAGGAATCATGAGTTTGGTGAGTAAATATTATTTTTAACAAGGACAAAACGTAAGAGACTCACTTTGATCACAGAATGGTAAGTTTTTCCATCCATGACGACAGTTATCTATACATTGGCCCGTTACATGGTGACATTTTAAGTCCCGACAATTGTCGCAAGGTAACTGACAATTTTCCCCATAGAAACCGGTATCACAAACTGAAAGCAAGGAACAGGTAACAAAATCATAAAATACTAGTATACGTGATTAAGACATCAAAATTTTTAAAGAGAGGTAGATATTCCAATATCCTTCTGACCTGTTTCACACTTGGGCCCAGTGTATCCCGGCATGCAACCTTCGGAACAGGTGCCGGTCACATGGTTACATGTGGCGCCATTTGCACAATTTCCACAACGTTCAAAGCATCCTTTTCCATAAGTAAATCTTGGGCATTCTGTCAGGGAACAAAATTAGCAATAAATGTACTTAATATTGCCACTATAATTTCTTAAACAGAACTGTGACTAGGCAAATTAAAACAGGACAAAATTGTTTAAAAGCGTGAATGAGCGAAAATAACACGGGACGAAAATAACCCTGTATACAGTGGATGTTGAACATGAAAATATACAAAAGGGCCTCAACACAGTCACATATCAGATATATTAAGCATAGTCTTTAAATGGATATTTATATGTTATGATTATAATACATACCTAAGTCACATCTTTCTGACATGTATCCAGGTTGGCACCCACTGGGACATAACCCTGTTGTAGAATGACATGGAGCATTTTCTGCACAAAATCCACACATTTTGTCACAGGCACCGCCATACATTCCAATGGGACAGGCTATTTAAGCAAAAAAGTAGAAATATTTCAGTTAAATGTGTACCACAATATTCATAGTATAATTCATTAAATTTTTCAAATATGTTGTAATTATAAATTACTAACACGGTTAACTATTTATACTTACAGTAATTGCAGTTAGGTCCATACCAATTTTTATGACAACCTTCTTCACAAATTCCAGACGCTTTTTCGCAGTCCTTGAGACCAAGACAATTTCCACAGTCCAATTGGCAGTCCTCTCCAAATTTATACTTTTTACATTCTTTAAAAAATCAAACATTGAACTTAATGCATTTTGCACTTCTATTAATTTTTTTGTTTATATCCCTAAGTAAGGACAGTTAGCAGTATATCTACCGTTTTTGCACAAGGCACCTTCCCAGCCCGGGTCGCACTTGTTTTCTGGACACTTGCCGGACACTGCATCACAAGCTTTACCATTCCGACAATATCCACAAAAACTGGCACAGTTCTCACCAAAAAGCCCTGGTGCACAATCTGCAGGACGGAAAGATTATTTGATTACATTGTTTAACAGTTCAGTAAGAGTATAACGGTTTGTGCATTGTAGATTTTAAATCTTGTGACATGTGCATGTTCCAGTATTCCTCTTTTACCTTATAGATAGATCATACAAACAAATTCCGTAAGTAGAGAAATGCAGCCTAGAGACATATTAATTGTAGAAGTTTTTTTATGGAACTACTAAACTAAAGTTACCTTGGTCACATTTTGGTCCCGTCCGCCCCTCTGAGCAGCCGGAGGGACAGAGTCCTGTTTCTGGGTCACAAGTCTCCCCCTTACAGTTACACTGGTGTTCACAGTTTGGTCCATAGGTTCCAAAGGCACAAGCTGCCAAAGTTACAGGTATAGCAAAATGTCTAAGTTAACTTTGCAGGATAAAATATGGTATGGCAATCGTTATGACAATTATGATGAAAGCAGAAATGTATTTCTTTAGATGAAATCCTCATAAATTGTAATTTTTTTTACATAATTACAAAAAAATGACTTGATCAACAATAAGATATATTTGCAAAATTACTTAATTTCTAAAACATGTATTATTGCATTTACTAAATCTTGCATCCAAAAGCTGACATGTTCATCGCATCAAAATCTGGCCCCATTTGGGAACATTTTAATTTAACAAACATTATTTTGATGAGGAATATCATCCAGTTGCACTTAAATTATAGACAGGTTTAAGAAAATATATAAGAAAGTAATGTCAAGAAACATAACTCTCAAATAATTTTTCAAACATATATCGCCTAGAGTCGCGATGTATGTGATTGTAATGCACTATTGCATCTACCCACCGAAAACTTCGACCTCACAGATTTCCAGGTTAGCCCAGCAGGAGTAGTCGGTCGTGGGACAGGCGGCAGGGTTGACGATCGGCCGCTGGTTATATACTGTTACATACCGGGCTTTGTGAGTACAATTGGTTAACATCAGTGTATCAGGTGGAGTAAAAAACTCGTTGTTCTATAAAAAATATTAGTATATAAACCTTTCTAAAACGTTCTTGAATTTGAATTTTGAAATTAAATATGGGGTTGCCTAGGGATTTCTCACCCGTATCTGACTTGTATAACAAAGCGCTCCATCAGTAAACACGGGAGTATTCGAAACGTAAACTCGGACACCTTTTCGGCGACCCTCATTGTACAGTTCTAAAATTGAACAAATGTTAGTTCATAATTAATTAAAGACAAATACAGTCGGTATTTGTAATAAATATGACAAAAGCGGGATGTTGAGAACCATTTAGCAAAGTTTATTTACACAAATCAGTATACTAACGGTCGTTTCTGAAGTAGATTTTGATGTTCTTGATGTGGTATTCCCTCCCCAGGTCCACGTACCACTGAACTCGGAATACGTTGGATGTACTGTAGGCACGAGTACATCGTCCCGTAGACCCGTTCTGTTCCCGTACCCCGTCCACCGCCAGCACAGACGTGTTATGGCCGTCTTGATGTGTCACTTTGTCCAATGCAACATTTTCTAGCAATGAAATGAAGTATAAGTATCTGGGATCATAGCTTTAAAATGTATATTGAGCTATGCTCGTATTTAGAATGTATCGATTGTTTGCTTGCCATTTGATTGTTCTTAGTACAGTAAAATCTGAGTAAACCGGACCATTCATTAAAAAAAACAAAACCGAATACCTCAAATCTTCCGCATATTGATGTTTAATATGTGCAGTAGACAATACATTTAATACTTGTTGAATATCTTTCAGTGTGAGTCAGTACTTACGTATCTGACAGGTGGGTTTTCCTGACCATCCGAACTCGCACTCCTCCATACATTCTCCCGTCACTGAGTGACAGGCTGCCCCGTACTGACAATGACATGCGTACTGACACAAGTAACCAAAAAATCCCATCGGACACGAACCTTGAAAATCAAAAAGTGGAGATAGATAACCCACTTGCATCATCATTTATATACTATACATGTAGTATTAAATCTTTTCTTTGATGGTGCTGATTTTCAGTGCTACATGTATAAATTTCAAACAATTTATACTAGTATCATGTAAGAGCGGTTGCACGTGTGCATAAACAAATATATATTTATGCTCTAAATGTGTCTCTAATTCTCTCAAATTAAGGGGGGAACCAATCAAGTGACAGCAACTCGGGTTTTCTGTTGAGTAGTTTTGGTTGTTCTTATAATTATAAAATAATTCTATTCTGAATACTGCAAGTGACACCCCCCAAAAATTTATAACAAAATGGTATTTTTCCTAATAAACAATAAAAAAATTAATCCAAGTTTCTTATACATCTCTGATATACAATGTACGTACACAAGATCTGCAAAATAAAACATTCCTGTCTTAAAAACTGTAGGAGTTATTCCGAGAAACGAGATATCCTATTTGCAATACTAATATATTGCAAACAAGCAGATTCAAAGAATTGTGGTACCCCGTTTTCGGTGTCTTTGTGAGTAACAGTTGTCATTATTTATGGCATATTGTGTTAAATAATAAAATGCTATCTACGTTTGTTATTACTGGAGTTAACGGAAGCAGCTGTTGCAGAAAAAATACATGACCCGTGTAAGCGGGTTATGTAAATTTTTTCTGCAATAGCTGCGACCGTTAATTCCAGTAATAACAAAGAAAGACATTTTATTGTTTATATTTATATCTATTTAAATAATCATTCAAAGCAGGATTAAAAAGATTAATTATTGTATTAATAATGCGAACGTCTTTATACGTTTCATTGATGGAACAGCCACTGATCAAGAAATCTGTACAGGCGACATGCCGACTTTAGTTCATGCGGTGATTAACGCAATGGGTTTTCTTAAGAAATAAAGGAGAAAATATTACAGCGGATGTAAATATTCAAATATGAACACCCTATCATATGTCATCATATGTCATTTTAAAACTAATCACCAAAATTGATTTTTTTAAAATAAGGTTAAACATGAAGATTAAGGTCAATGGGTCAGAAATCATAGCATTTTCGCAAATACCTTGTCTTGGGTAATGTACATGTAAAATTTGAGAACCATATCTCTACTCTTTCAAAAGTTAAAGGAAAAAATTAACATTTTTGAAAAGAAGGTCAAACGCCAAGGTTCAAGGTCATGGGTAAAAAATCATAGTGTATTTAAAAGGTCTTGTCACAGGTAATATCATGTGAAATGTTAAAGCCACATCTCTTCCAATTCAAAAGTTGTGACCTATGTTAAAATTTTGAAAAGTAGGTCAAACTTATATGTTTGGTTAAACTTCAAGGCCAGGGTCACGAGGTCAAAACCATGGTGAATTTAGAAAAGTCTTATCACAGGGAATACACCTGTACCTGTATAATATGAAAACCCTATATCTTCTCATTCAAAAGTTATGGCCCAATATAAAGAAATGTTTAAATTTTTGAAAAGTAGGTCAAAGTGTCAAAATTCATAGTGTATTTAGAAATGTCTTGTCACAGGTAATACATGTGTGTTATATAAAAGTCTTTTCTCTTCTTATTTAAACGATATGATCAAGGTTAAAGTTTTTTGTGATAGACTGACAGACGGACAAATGAATGAGATGTAATGTTCCCTTGCTTTCGCGAAAGCGGGATGGGGGCAAAATTGACAAGTTCAACAGCTGTACTTTTCAATTAATAAACAAAATTCAAAATCATATTTACAGCAGGGGCGTAGCAACAGGGGGGGGGGGGGGCAGGGGGGCCTGCCCCCCCACTTTTTTTCCCAACCTTACTTATACTATAGGAAATGTTAATTGAAATCCTGATTGGCCCCCCACTTTTAGTGATGTACCGAAAGTAGTTGACACTGGTACTGAAAGTAGTTGACACCGAGGAAAAGTATACCTAAACGCCCATCCCCCCCCCCCACACCCACACCCCCCAAATTGGATTTTCGACTTTGGGCAACTTTTTCTTTTTTCTTTTCTTTTTTCTTTTTTTTTTTTTTTTTTTGCTTGTCAACTTTTTCAGGTAAGTAAGTAAAAAAAATTTTCTCTGGCTGCCCCCCCCCCCTCCACTTTCAAAAACGATGCTACGCGCCTGTATAGGCCTCTGGTTTGTGTTCATTTGAACTACAATTTTATAAATATAATCTTTAGGAGTTATCAACTAAACCAATTGATCCTATATAAGGCAATATTTTGCAAACTGTTGTCGAAAATCAAAATAATATGAATATCTCCGATTTATATACAACTGATGCAATTTTTTTTTTTTAAAGACTGCCATTTTGAAAACTATAGAAGTTATCCTGAAATATATGTACCATTTTGGCAGTCGCCCGCCTGCCAATTTCACCACATCAAAAAAACAAAACAGATTTTATTCTAAGGAGAAACCAGTTAAAAAATTGACTAGTCTTCCACTTATATATATATAGGACGTCCAGTAATGATAATAATGACGAATATACAATGTAACTATAATCTGAAAACCATTTTATATGTGTAACCACGCCTATATTTTTATTTTATGTACATGGGATGCATGTAGGAAGGGTTAATTGAGGGATACTGTGTGATTTGGTGACAAGATGGGGGAGGTATAATATATACTCTAACTTAGGTCATTTTTTTTTTATAAATACATAATACACATGTGCATATATATGTGTAGTCACACAAGTTTGCATTAATTATAAGATGTTTCAAGATTGGTGAAAAAGCTTCTTTTCAGTTGTTTTTTTTTTAATACTTCATAAAAAAAAATGAACAAAACATAAAGTGAGCGACACTTGGTGAAATAAGATATAGATCTTTGAGATGAAATGTGACCAAGTGCTTGAGATTGTGACACTTCTTGACTTGGTTTCCACTTACAATAAACTCGATTTATAACCTACCTAAAATTTATCAATATAGAAAGAAATTCCATCACACTGCATTCAAAATGCTGGGAATATTTAACATTTACGGATAAGTTTTCGTTTTCCATTCGAGATTTGTGAAGATGGAAGACTTTATTGGTCGATTGGTTCCCAAAAATCTTTTATGCGAGTTGCCTATTTGTAATGCACATCATTCTTCTAAAGTTATTGACCTTGTCAGTACTAAAGTCGCATGAAAGATTTTTGAAATTGCATTGAAAAAGCAAAAGCTATACTAAAAGAAATTCTACCACGATTCTTTTAAAATAATTAATAACCCCCTCCCCCAAGAAAAAAGGGAATCGTAATAGGTTAAGAATAGTACAGGTATATTATATGAAAAGTACATCACAAGAATACTCTCAGAATTAAAAAATAACAAAATTATTAAAATAAAATTTGAAACAAAATTAATGACTTAATTGTTATTTACCAGTTAATGAAATGTTTTTCTCTCTTACTCATAAAGCTGTCACTCCCCTAAATCCGCGCGATATTTGACAGAGAAAAAAAAAATACAACCTTACCTTGAGCGGCGTGTTGAACCATCCAAGAGGTGAAAACGGTCCAGACAGCCATATCCAAAACATAATTGGTCATTTTAGAAACAGACATTGAATTAAAATTATTCACTATTAATTTTCTTCATTCTCTGGCCTCCTTAGTCGAGGAAGTTGTGTATCTATAATACCGTAATAAGATGAGTCGTATGTTGACCAGCGGCGTAATCGTCACTAGAGCTATATCCCCGGGGCCCATGTCCTTAGATACCTATGCAGTTCCGTGTTTTATTTGTGTATGTAAAAAAATATACAACATTTGAGCTGGGATACGGGACATGCACAACATAAGGGGTTAAATTCTAACATGATTTATAAGAGGTTTCGGCTGTTGTGATGTTTCTCATCTATTCGTGCTTCGCTAAAATTTCTGGGTCCTAGCAATTCAGTGGCAGGATTCGAAGCGCTTGTTTGTTTATTTGTTTATAATATGGCTGCACAAATAAATAAAGTTTTATTATTTTTTAATCATATTATTAGAAATAATTAACCATCTTCATAACTTCAGTTATTTCATAACCGCAACACACAATAAAATTCTGGAAATTGTTAACAACAATATGTTATCTTAATGTTTTGTAAGCATTTGACATAGTTAATCAAAAAGACATTAAATTAAAATCCTATGCATTTAATATTAATGGTTTTTTTTCTACAAAATATTGAGCAGCATGTGCATTCATATCAATATTTTGATAAAAGGAGAAAACGAGACCCATATACACCCGAAATAAGAGTTCGACAAGGGGATATCTTAAGCCCATTGTTTTTCTTATTTTCTCATAATGTTTCTAAATTACTAAATATATAGAAAGTATATGCTCTGTAATTTTTGTTTGAAAAGAAATCATTTCACTTTTACGAGGGCCGTTCAAAAATTACGCTATTATTTACTCTTACAGGCAACATATAGTGATGAATTTGACAGAAACTAGAGGTACCGTGAGCAACGAGCTCATTTAATGATACCTCCCGCCTCCCATATAATTATATAATGGAAAAGTCCATGTTTTGCTGTGGCCGGGCAACCCAAAATAAGTGTCGGGTCAAAAAGTAAAGTAGGAGGTGCACAATGGTTATATGTAATAAACTTAAGATTCTGTGTTTCATTAAATTTCACTCCGTGGTATAAGAGGAGTTGCGGATAAGAGATGGGTAACCCAAAGCGTAACAGACAGACGGACGGACGGACGGACATACCGATTACATTATACCCTCCCACTTTTCAAGCGGGGGTATAACAAATACGTATATCTTAAAGATTTCAATTAATTTTGGGAAAAAAATTGTGGATTTAAAAAAAATCTCTTTCTTCTGTGCATGTGATATTGTATTTTAAGTAGATAACGTAAACAGTCTGCGATCCAAGCTAAACTTACTAGTAAAATCAGTACTTAGAAGACAAAAATAGTTGATAAAAGTAAATGAATATACATGAATATGTTAACAAACATAAATTACTAAACGTAAATATTATTCTTCTTGGATTTCCTGTACAGTAAAACACGCTTATAACGAAGTGCCAGAACGGAGATTTTGTATCGTTTTAAAGGTACTTGACACAGATTTGAAGTTAATATTTTCTCTATAATATTACGACTTATATATTTTAATAGCATTTCACACAAAAATTAATTAAAAATCTTATTTCATTTAAAAGTTATTAAAATTTAAATTTTTTTTGGCGGGTTTGATTGACAAATCCTTGCACTTTCACAAATTTTAACTATATTCTTAATCCTTAGGAAAAGTGGCAAGCTTGTTGTGTATTAATGAAAAATATTAATACTATAATCCAGAAAATTCAGATAGACATGTTCAAAACCAAAACAAACACACAATATATTGCCAAGCCGTGCAGTTATGGTGAGCAGACTTTGGCGATTTAACGCACCTGGTGAATCGTAAACATCAAACAATAACAGAACTCGTGCCCTGTTTACAAAAACTGTGTACATAACACGAGTGTGCTCGATTTGCTAAACTCTGTATACAACGGAATGACGATACTTGTGAAGGATTTTTGCTTTCTAACATTTCTACTCTGAATAATTTTTTTTTTTGGATTTAAGTTTTAATATTTCTCATTTATACATAACAAGATTGCCACTTTTCCTAAGGATTAAGAATAAAGTTAAAATTTGTGAAAATGCAAGGATGTGTCAATCAAACCCGCCAAAAAATTTAAAGTTTTAATAACTTTTAAATGAATTAAGATTTTTAATTAATTTTTGTGTGAAATGCTATTAAAATATATAATTCGTGATATCATACAGAAACTATATTGTAACGGGGAACAGATGTTTCCCAAATATTCCCTGTAAGATTCATTAAATAAGACAAACTTTATGCATTTGAGACTTTTACAACGTTTACCCAAATGGGTACCAAGTTCATTCAAATTTTAGCATTGCACGCGTGTGCATGTGAATGCATGTGCGTAATGACCATATCATCCTATCTACACTATCTATATACTTGAATATTCTAAATATTAAAATATTTAATCCAAAAGTATTAAAAAATACGCTTATTCAAGTGTATTGTTGACTTTACTAGTCGTTTCACGTGCACGCACGTGCTTACATGAACATGGTGACATATCTACTTGTAAAACTCCGTTTGGTTGAAAACCAAGGGAGTTATAGCTGATTAAAGTTTCAGCCAATCAGATTGCAGCGTAAGTTCACGCACGTGTATGGATGTGCATGATGATCATACCTTCTTGTAGACGTCCATTATATCTATCTATGTTTCAAATCTCATCCTGTTTGGTTGAAAACTAAGGGAGTTATATCTATTTAAAGTTTCAGCCAATCAGATTGCAGCGAACGTACACGCACGCGTATGAAAGTGCATGGTGACCATACCTTCTTGTAGAAGTTCATTATATCTATCTATGTTCCAAATCCCATTCTGGTTGGTTGAAAACCAAGGGAGTTATAGCTATTTAAAGTTTCAGCCAATCAGATTGCAGCACACGTGCATGCACGTGTTTTCATGAAAATTGTTATATATTATGTTTAGGATATCCTAATGCATGGCTATGTTCAAAATTTCAAAGGATTTCATCAAAAAGCAAGAAAGATATTGAGACTTTAGTTTCAGCCAATCAGAGCAAAGCGCGCGTGCATGCGCGTGAGATCTTGCTATTTTGACCATGTCATATTGTCTATGCTACTACTATATCCTTATATTATGAGTTTCAAAGCATTTCATCAAAAAGGTAAAAATTTACGCCTATATCAATTAAATCGGTCATTTCACGTGTTGCTCGTGCGCGCTCTTGCAAGCACGTGCACACAAAATGGCTTGTTGACAATGTCATCTTATCTACATTTATAATATGTCTATATATTCTAAATATCAAAGCATTACATCGAAAAATGTAAAAGTTACAGCAATTTCAAGTATATTGGTCATTTCACGTGTTGCACGTGCGCGCTCTTGCAAGCACGTGCGCGCAAAATGACCTTCGTTCCGCAAATCTACATAACATGCCTACTTATCCTAAAAAGGTTTCCCCTTAATCGGATGTGTACTTTACAAGATCATTCGCGGACAAAATTTTCCCGAGAAGAAAAATAATAATAATAATAATAACTAGTGCTAATTGTAACGGGGACCGTTACAGATGTTCCCCAAACGCTCCCCAACTCCCTTTTGGTGCCATATTCCCTGTAATCTCTATTAAATAAGAAAAACTTTATGAAATTAAGAATTAATCAAGGTCTTCTTAGAAAAATACAAAATATGTTTAAAAATAGGCATTGCACGCGTGTTCATGTGCCTAACGACCATATTATCTTGTCTACACTATTTAAAATTTTAATATACTTAATATAAAAGCATTTAATCCAAAAGTATTAAAAAATACACTCATTCGAGTGTATTTTTAATTTTATATGCACGTGCACGCACGTGCATAATGACTACACCTTCTTGTAGGAGTCCCTTATATTTATCTATGTTCTAAATCCCATCCTGTTTGGTTGAAAAACAAGGGAGTTATAGCCATTTGAAGTTTCAGCCAATCAGATTGCAGCACACATGCATGCGCGTGATTTCATAAATTTTTATCTTTATCGTATTGAAGGATATCTAAATGAATGACTATATTTTAAAATTCCAAACATTTCGTCAAAAAACAAAGGAGATATAGCCATATAAAGTTTCAGCCAATCAGGTTACAGCAGACGTGCATGCGCGTGATTTCATGAATTTTTTTCTATATCATATTTTACGATATCCAAATGCATGACTAATTTTTAATTTCAAAGTATTTCGTCAAAAAAAAAAGAAGATATAGCCATTTAAAGTTTCAGCCAATCAGATTGCAGCGTGCGCGCATGCGCATGCTTTCATGAAAATTTTTATATATCGTGCTGTAGATCTTCATAATGTAGGACTATGTTCGAAATTTCAAAAGATTATGACTAGAAACAAGAAAGATATTGAGACTTTATTTTCAGCCAATCAGAACGAAGCGCACGTGCATGCGCATGAGATCTTGCTATTTTGAGCATGTCATCTTTTCTATGCTACTAATATATCCTTACATTATAAATTTCAAAAGATTTTATCAAAAAATAGAAAAGTTACGGCTATATCCATTATATTGGTCATTTCATGTGTTGCACATGCGCGCTCTTGCAAGCACGTGCGCGCAAAATGGCATGTTGACAATGTCGTCTTATCTACATTTATGATATGTCTATATATTCTAAATATCAAAGCATTACATCAAAAAATGTAAAAGTTACGGCAATTTCAAGTATATTGGTCATTTCACGTGGTGCACGTGCGCGCTCTTGCAAGCACGTGTGCGCAAAATGACCTTCGTTCCGCATATCTACATAACATGCCTACTTACCCTAAAAAGGTTTCCCCTTAATCGGATGTGTACTTTACAAGATCATTCGCGGACAAAATTTTCCCGAGAAGAAAAATAATAATAATAAGAAACAGAGTAAAAACAATATGTTCCCCAACTTCGTTTGGGGAACATAATAATAAGAAACAGAGTAAAAACAATACGTTCCCCAACTTCGTTTGGGGAACATAAATATTAACTTCAAATCTGTGTCCAAGTATCTTTAAAACAGGCACTTGATTCGGAAATAATTTTTTAACCCATAGTTTAATCATAACACGTGTTATTATCATACTATGGGTTAAAACTTTATTTCCGAAACAAGTGCCTTTGCGTTTTAAGCAGAATTCGTTTATAACGGTTACCGTAAAGTTTACAAAATATTTTAAAGTCATCTAGCTAGGAAATCATAATCACTTCGCTGTCATCGTCAATGCATTATAAGTATGTTCGCTATAACCGTGTTTTACTTGTATTTTGAAAAGGGGAGATAGAATCTTGCTTAATATTTTTTATAAAATAAATTAAGGTTCTCATGTAGGAAAAGAGGCACATAAATATTTCCAATGCTTTTATTACAAATTTGAGGTATTTTGACTATCAAAACATACACTTCAAAACAAGATAAAAATACTAGTACAATGTATATGTTGAATAGCGCTTTCAGTATACGTATATAGAGAATATCAATCTCATTTCAAACTATTAAATTGTTGAAACAAAAGAGGGCTATAGATTAAAAAACTCCTCAAAATCCAACTTTGTATATACCTCGAAAACATAGATATGTACGCAAACCCTTGCCTTGTTGTTTGCTCAAGTGTATTCCTTTTCTATTTCCTCTTTCTAGAAAGGACAAGATGTGGTAACGGTCGAATCTGATCCCTTATTTGATGTAAAAATCAAAACACTGTTAAAATTGTGATGGTTTGTAGATAAAAACTTTAATGATGCTTGTTTTACAACCAGCACTAATCTTGATTCAAAGCTACACGGATGCCCCAAGAGGGTGCAGAAATAGGACATCTTCCCGAATTTTCTAAATTCTGGTGGAATTTCGAGATATTTTCACTTTAAGAAACATAGAACACAAGCTAGCTGCAGAACTGTAGCTCTCCGAAAAAAAAGTTATTTTGATAGATCGGAGAGCTACAGTGCCACCCATTGAAAAAAACTGAATATTTATTGCGCACAAAAAAGTGCGCTGTTTCCCGATTTATTTCTCCATGTTTCTAAAACTGTCATCTCAAAATTTTACTAACCGTGTGTTCCTAACATATTCTTTCACTGTTTCCACAATTAAACATTCCTTGTGATTGTTTTTAATAGCCCTCCTGGCCCTGAAATTGAGATCATCGAAAAACTCACCTATCTATACTGCCATTTTGGTTTGCAAGATAATTCTGTGAGTGTCCAACACGCTTCGTACAGATGTAAACTACGAAAGTAATTGATAGAGGGGTAAGGACTTTATTGAAATCTAGCTTTTGCAATTAAGGTGAGAATTTGGAAGGATTGATCCAGAACCGAGCGCACTTTTTTGTGTGCAATAAATAAAGTTTTTTTTCAATGGGTGGCACTGTAGCTCTCCGGTCTATCAATATAACTTTTTTTCGGAGAGCTACAGTTCTGCAGCTAAACACAAGCTTGCCTATCTGAGATTTTTATACATAAGATGCATCTGATACTAGTGTAAGACATATAAGATGGGCAAGCTTGTGCTTTTGCTGTATGTTTTCAGAAACAATATGTGCTGTAAGATCGATGAAATTTGCATAAAAAATGAGAAAAATCGGAAATTTACTTATTTTCTAACCTTCCTGTGACCTCTGTGCAACTGTCTTTCCTGATATACTTTATTTTATCAAATTAAATATACAACATGACTATTGTATATTTTATTTGATAAAATAAAGTATATCAGGAAAGACACATCCCTAACTTTGAACCAATGCTCATTTTGTGGCAGGGGTGACAACAGGTTTCTATTGATAAACTGTTGAAACATTCTAAAAGACACCCCTAATCCAGGGGCCGAAAAGGGGTCTTAGCCTTCCTTGTCCTTTCTTCATTATCCCTAGTTTCATTGATTAAAAAAGTGTAGAAACGTAGAATCGAGGGGCCTTCTTTCCCCCCACCCAAACATTACTTTTTGTCTAGTGTATATCTTCCATAAGAGGTTGGTTGCCCCCCGCTCCCATTTTGTTGACGTATAGATAATTAATTCATGATAAGATAATGTATGAATAAAATTTGGACATGAAATGACATTGGAGACCCCCTCCCGCTTTTTCTTTGATGGATTTCCAACAATTATTTTTTTCAACATGCCCTGAATATCATTTGTATTATTCTTTTTTGTAGCTACTAATTTATCGATTTTTGTGAACTTGAATTTTTCGAGGTAAGTGATCGTTAAGTTATTGAATATCTGTCAAAAACGTGGAATAACATGCCAAGTAAATAGCTTTGTAGTTTGGGGAGCCATACCTTTGTTCCGAAAAATGTCAAATTTCCGCAAACAAGTCCCATAAAATTTCAGCAGGTCATCCTCAATTTTCCGTGACTTACACAATATTAATATTCTGAGAAAACACATTGAACTTTAAGATATTTTATTTTTAATCATTATCCCCCTGCCACGCTAAAAATCGTTTCCCTCTCGAAAAAGAGTAGGCTTATTGGGGGCCGCTGGAGAGACCCAAAATTTCAAATCCGTTCATACAATGTTTAAGTTCATACCACCAAAATATGGCTGAAATATTGCGGACTCAGCGTAAAACAACGATAATCAATCAATCTCATCCACCTTAAGAAATCCCCTTTCTGCGAACTTTGGGTTTTAAAGCGTTTTTTCAATGCAATGTATGTAGAGGAATCAAGTTCGACTGATTGACATATGATTTCCCCGAGCATCAATATAGTTTTCGAGGAATGCAATTAAAAAGCAAAAACATAGAAAAATGTAATTTATTCATGATTGTTGAACATATTACAAATGTAAACGTATTCGGTAATTCATTACATGATAACATTCTATTCACAATAAAATGCAATTTTTATAACATGCAGCAATTACAAAACATATTTTTTCACACTTCCATCGATACTAGCATTAATTGTACTGATTAATAACAAACTGAGATAAAATTGCTAACGGTCTAAATGACTACTATTTAGCTACAATGAAAAACATGGATAAACTGCATAGAAGTACATGTATAAAGCTAAAAATTTATGGGATTTCAAATTACAACAGAAATAAGACGAAAACCTGAGATGTTTAACACAAATGTAAAATTAATTGTTCACCATCAAAATATGACAAGTACAGTTTCATCATGATAACATTCGCTTTTATCATAGCAAAAAGCATTCAACACAATTTGGTGGATTTTAGTACAAAAGCTTAACTACAAGCAAGTACCATAAAGTTTCAATGTTCACCTTTCACCAAAGGTGATATTTCTCTGCATGGTTATTTTACTGTGGTGCACGTGTTTCACTAGTTGTTGGCCTCCAAACCTGCCAGCTGAAGTTTCATCACGTGTTGGTACATTTTAAGGGCGGGACCGAGCCGGACCGATAATCCGGTCAGCACATCACTTCTCTTCATCAACAACAAAGACTGTCCATCAATTTCCTTACAAGAAAAAAAACCCCAACATCTAATCATCGCATATTATTATTTATTATTGATTAAGTAATAATAACATCAACATGACATAAATGATCAGTTAAAAAATAATTTGAATCTCAAAAAATCTATTTTCTGAAAAAATATGGTTCGTCCTACCTGCTCCTGCAAGGCTTCGGCCTGATCCTTGTATCCTAGATTTGTGAAGAACTTCACCACGTCCTCGACTTCCCACTTGGAGGCGTCAGGATAGTGAATCTTCTTCTGATCCGATGGTGACCTTTCCTCCGACCGCCGCTTGGCTCTGCAAATAAGTAAGACGATGGGCAAATAAATTGATTTGTGCACTTTTGGAATAAACTGTATTTTTTTTCCGTGAAAAATTTCCAACATCCTTACCGAAGGTCTTCGTCAGACGATGCTGCAGAATCGTACGGAGTAGGTAAACAAGAAGTATTATCTTCTGAAAAGACACGTAAAAAATGATCAGTTATAATAGCTATAATTTGATACACAATTGTAACATGTAATCGTAAAACGTTATAGTCTAGGCACACAATTGATCATATTTTCGGAGACCTCGGCTGTCGTCTGCAGTGTCGTTGGCTTCGTCGACCTCCATACATCCATCCACTGATTCCGTATCTTGGCATGTCTGACACTCCCATTTACCTGCAAATAGAGAGAACTACAGCGGTCATTTGCTTGAGGTTTTTTGTATATATACTAGTACTAGGTTTATTGGAAATTGTCTTTACTGAAAGATCTCACCTTGTGGCTTGTCCTCAATGGCTGGTTCGTGACAATTCATGTGATACCCTTTATCACAGGCGTCACAAAACAACATCATGTCCTAAAATTACATTATTAGAAGCTAAATTTTCGCAACTTTCAAAAGACATTTCAGAATGTCAAACAAATCCTATGTATTGTTGGCTACTTACGGGGTCACCCGCGTCTAGACACACAGTGCAAGTTTTGCAGTCGATGCACTGCCATGGTGATTTCAGAGAACGCTTCGCGAGGGTTGAATTGTATCCCATACATGAAGGGTGAGCTAGAAACACCGAAAGTAGACAATCAAAATTCATTTTTTTTTATCATCTTTTAAACTGTTTAGGATTCATAATCCGATTTTCAATATTTTTTTAAAAATTGTTTGCGATATTTAATTATTTGCGATTCGTCCAAAAAAATTGATGAAAATACAATAAGTACTAGTAAATGAAATAAATAACACTTTTAATGACTTACCCTTCGCGTTGCAGTCCTGGCAGACTAAGATGCCCTCTTTGAAATCTTTTCGGATAATAGGTTCCGTCTGCAGACAATAATCACAGGACGAGTCCTCCATGGAACGTTTCCCAAAGGACAGTGTCTCAAAGTCAGGGCCATGAGTTTTTTTGAACTTCTGAAATATTTTCAAACAGATTTGCCTATCTATATCGATGTGCACATAATTCTATGCTAGAATGTGGTACATAAATATTCATAGCTGCAGATCTGTAGCTCTCCGAAAAAAAAATATTGATAGACCGGAGAGCTACAGAGCCACCCATTGAAAAAACTATATTTATTGCGCACAAAAAAATGCGCTCGGTTCTCGATTTATTTCTCCATGTTTTTAAAGCTGTAATCTCAAAATATTACTAACTATGTGTTCCTAACATATTCTTTGACTCTTTCCACAACAAAACATTCCTCATAATTGTTGTTAATAGTCCTCCTGGCCCTGATATTGCAGTCATCGAACATTTCGCTTATTTATACTGTCATTTTGGTTTCAAAGATAATTCGGTCCAATATGCTTCGTTCAGATGTCAACTACGAGAGAACTTGATAGAGGAGAGAGGAATTTTTTGAAATCTTCCATTTTTTGCAATTGAGGTAAGGATTTGGAAGAATTAATCAAGAATCGAGCGCACTTTTTTGTGCGCAATAAATATACAGTTTTTTCAATGGGTGGCTCTGTAGCTCTCCGGTCTATCAATATATATTTTTTCGGAGAGCTACAGATCTGCAGCTAATATATTCACTGTTTATAGTAAAAGAATTTAAAAGGTTGAAAAGGGGTCCGGGAATTAAATTTGCGAAAGATTACGTTAAGCAAGCCAGTAGGAGGCCACCTACTTATACACCATATCTTCCTTTATAAGACTGTATTCAGTATCTAAGGTATACACATCATAAAAGACAAAGTTTTAAACTATAATGTTGGCGTATTATTTCAATACGAGTACTTATAAATTCTCATCTTCGCTAACCAGTGGTTTCCGATCCAAAATCTGGCCTGATTTCGGATCAGAAACCCTTAGCTAGCGAAAATGATAAATTCTTAATTTATGTTTAGATCATTTCTGCAACAAATGCGTTTAATATACATTGAACATACTGCAAATCAAGCAGGGAATTATTAACTTCAAAACATGTTTTTTGTTCATTTGAAAATGGTGCATGCATAGTATAGCTTTATGGTGGGAATCGTTTCGTTTGCAAAAACTATTATAATATTTTTCAGTACATATAATATCCGTTGACTTTTTTTCATTATGAAATCAAGAAAACGTTCAAAGATTTTTGCAATGTACTTTGCAACATCTGCGACAACTAGATAGCGACTTCTGTAAAATTCTACATAAATACAAAGACTTACAAAGTTCAATATTTGGTTCGTGACGAGAAGTATTCGCCAATGAAAGAACGTCGCAAAAAAAACGCGAATATTTCTCATTCGCAAATAAAATTTGGTCAACAGTGTGAAAAGATGAATTTCGTTTTGGTATAAGATTTTTCACTCAAAGTTTTTCAATTTAAAACAGGTTACAGAAAGAAATTCTTTTCTACACTTGATTGTGAAGAAAAAATCACAGGAAGTTTCCTCCGACGGCTCTGCAATACATTATTACGAATGTTTGGAAAAAAACTCGATTGTAACTTTGGTTTATACTCGATATTTTCATTTTATTCAAAAGTTGTAGGAAAAGAGGCAACTTTTAAATATATAAATAACATAAGCATACTTTTACAAATTTCCCCGAGAATCATATCTTCTTGCATCTTCTGAGTGTAACACTGAGTCAATGCACAATGTTCAGTAAAAAAAAAAAAGGAAAAAAAAGAGGACTTTTATTTGGAATTGGTTTTACAGGAACAAACACAATTTATTCATAATCAAATGCTTTCTATTCATAGCATAGTTTAGTTTATATACAAATTATTTCAGCAGAAATTCTTAATTTTAGTTTTAAAAGTAACTTCATGATTCACTTTCTTTTTCACAGTTGTAAAATTTATTTGTCAATCGCACAAAATGTTTGCATACCGTTTTTTTTCATGACCTGTTTCAATATCGGACAGGTATGTTATTTGTGTAACTTACCTTACGTTTTGAGGGTGGGCGTCCTCGTTTACCGGGGCTCGAAACAGAGGTACTGGGTTTTTCTGTAATTTTCTTTTCCGGGTTACTTTCGCTACAGATATAATTACCATGAGCTAGCTTTTTTAGGCTTCCATTCGCCACTTCTTTATCCAGAGCGGACCGGATCTGACTACGATCCAAATGGGGCTCCGGCGTATTTGCGCTCAACCAACGTTCTACCTCCTTCACAGATGCGCCTCTGTCTACCGAATTTTGCGCAACTATTTCTTGAACCGCAGTAATAATATTTTTAAAAGTTTTGTCGGAATGAACAACTTTTTTCCAAGAATGGGTTTTCTTCCATTTAGCTGTGTTTCTATAACTTACGTTCCCTTTATAATCCACTTTTACAACTGTTCCCGACTCAACTAATTTTTCTAAATGCGATTCCGTCTCTTGCCATTTCATTCCATGCTTACGGGCTGCCATGTGACATATTCGCACAATATCTGGTCGCGCTTTCCGTTGTCGGAGCTGGTCAATAATTTGCAAAATACTTTCTTTGCATTTCTGGCTAGCCATCGGTTTGATTACTAAAACATCCAAATGTGCGACAGGGGTGAAAACAACCTTTACATGCGGCTGGGTAAGGTCCGGGGAACGATAACTTACAATGTTTTGGTGGATTGCGCATGTCTCATTTCATTCAACAGAGGCATCATGGGATAGAACGGAGTACCCGCAAGGAAAATATAATTAGACAGTTTTCTTCAAAATATCCAATATACCGTCTGAGAGCTTTCAAAACATTAAATAAAGTTGTGACTTTGATATGATAACCAAATATAGAATGAGATTCTTTAGATTAATTTTAAAAAGATTATATCTCTTTTCGGTTTTCCTTTCAGTGCCTCAATGGACCAACATGACAACGTCATCGCGCTCTGGGAGCTTACAACTGCGACAAATTGAAGTTTTTGCACAAAAGCAAAAAATTGAGATCAACTTATACTTGGTAGATGCTTTTTACTAATTGAACTAACAATTATAAATAGTACGCAGGTATTTAGATCAAGCAGATATCAGGTGCGACACGAGAAGCGCAACTGCGAAAATTCTCAGAGGCGGATCTAGCGCTTTTACGCTAAATAAAGGCAACCATCTGCTGATCATTGTAATTCTGTGGATTATAAATGGGAATATATTGTACAATTTTTAAACCTTATATAAGGTTGTATTCATAGATATTGGTCTTGATGTAGTTTTAGTGTATTATTTACATGAATAACATGAATTCAGTAAAATATACATAATCAATTATATGAAAACTTTCCTTTTATTAAGATAACAAAAGTTTGTAAGAGATGCTGAAATTAAACTGACAAAATTAATATCATCAAATGATAATTTGTAATTGTGTACAGAGTGAAAATTGTATGCATACACTGTATTTTAAAAGTTTGTATATAACTATTATTTACAATTCCTAACTAACAAATTCTATAATGATCAACAAAACTTTGAACATCATTTGTTGATTTACAAAGGAAATACAGATCTTAAAATTCTTTATAATGTGAACAAGACTCGTGCCCTTTTAACAATTTTGCCCCGTTTTAAATTCGCCCAGTCACAGTTCTGTTTAAGAATTCATACCATGTTCTTTGAATTCGCCCCGTTTTAAATTCGCCCACTTTTGACAAAGGCGAAAATATATAAACGGGGACGAATATTTCCCTGTATACAGTATCCTATTTATAACAAACCGAGATTCAGCAATTACTTGAAACTGTCTAATTGTATTTAGAATTAACTTCTTTATTGAAAAAAAAATCTTGGAGAGAACATATATTAGTATATTTAACTTAATGTAGACCAAAGAAAAAAAAAACAGCAACAAACAAACGAACAAACATGGCGCGGGCCCTGTTTAAATTACAAAGGTTTGGAGCTCTAAGAAAACTGAAATTCAAATTTTTTATGAATCTTAGTTAAATATTCGTAAACATAAAAAACATGAAAAAATTCAATTTTTTTTTATGTAATAAAGATTCTGTGAAATCTTAGTTAAATATTCGTAAACATGAAAAAATGAATTGTATCTTTTTAAAAGCTGAAACTGTGTCCATGTCCCTCAAATAAATTTGTTAGAAAATTCAAATTAGTAATTTGTAGGTAATATACATAATGTAATAAAACAACAAATTTAAAGTTACTATCAAAATATTTTATAATAGTTGTGTAAAGACTCTATTCAAATTCCTAGTATAATATTGACACATAATTTAGTATTTACACATGTATGAAGCAAGACGGGAAATAAATTGTCTTCCCAGTTAGCTAAAATTCTAAAATTGTTTCAGGTCTCTGATTTTGTCTAGGTTGGAACCCGACATTTTACTAGGGGAAATATAAATGACTGGTACCCTATGTTGAATTCGAGAAAGAAATAATAGATACATTATAAAATTTCTTTATCCCTCTCTCCCAAAAATGTGTATTATTAAATAAATTCGACAGCAAATACAACTTATCATTTAGTCAGATGCTGACTGTTGTTTTAATGCCCCCGAATTCGAATATTCGGCTATATATTTTTAGCCCTAACCGTCCGTCTGTCTGTTTGCTAAAACTTTAATCTTGCCCGTAACATCTGATTGTTCGGAACTATGACTTTCGTTCATAGAATTATTCTCTGTTGCAATGCCTTTCTTGGGGAACTTACATATTCGATCTCTTGACCTTGAAAACTGGCCCACTTTTTGCGAAAAATTACCTAACTTTAACAATGGCCGTAACTTCTGAACAGTTGGTACTAAGGCTTTCATACTTCACGTGTATTTATTGTAAAAACACCTTTCGAATAAATATATGTTCATCTTTTGGTCTTGACATTCGCGTTTGACCCACTTTTAAAAAAAATTAACCTTGGACATGACTTTTGATTAGTTCGAGCTATAACCTTCATATTTTACAGGTTTATTCACTGAGACGTGATATTTCAATTTTTGAACTTAAGCTTCCACCTCAAGATTTTGGATTTTGATATACTTTTGAAAAAAATTAACCTTGGTCATAACTGATGAAGAGTTGATGCTAAGGCTTTATTAATATTTCAGGTGTATTTTTATGACAAGATCGTAACCTGGTTAACTTTACTTTGATACTTTGACCTTGCAGTGAGATCCACATTTAAAAACTTAAACATAACCTTTGAATGGTTAGTGCTTGGGCTTTCATATTTCAAGGCGCAGTGGGTAGAGCGTCTGCTCTAGAATCGCGACGTTAGGAGTTGATCCTTACGCCGCGGGTTCAAATCGTACTGTGGGACGTGGAGAACGGTCCTACGGAGGGGACCGTATAAACCAAGGTCTTGTGTCGCAGTACTTATGCCCTGTTCAAGTTTAATTGTAAATTAATGCGAAGTGCGAATCAAACTAATGCGAATTAAATTGCGTTCACACGACAGCTAATGCGAAGTAAACTAATGCGAATTAAAATTTTATTTCGACAGTCAGGCGTGAGGAAGGCTATTATGACGTCATTTGCAAATCACGTCACCTTATGCAGAAGCAGATGCATTTGACATAATGTCACAGTGTCTGGAGACATATTTTAGTGATTAAAACATTTTTTCTTAGTTTTTGACTCAAAAATAGCACAAGTACTTAAAGTTGACCACCGACATGATGCATTTGACTTAATTTTGCCATTACGCATGCCCCACGAATTAGCCGCTTAGCGTTCACACAGAGATAATGCGAAGTAATTCAATGCGCAGTAAACTAATTCGCATTAAATTCCCCGTGTGAACGCTAAGCGAAGCTAATTCGCAGTAAACTTACGTTTAATTCGAATTAAACTCTCCGTGTGAACAGGGCATAAGGTACGAAAAAGATCCCTCAATGCTTAGATGCCCTGAATGCCGAGCATATGACAAAATCCTTTGCAGCTCTCAACCGGCAAGTGGTGGCGTCTCCATATGAGTGAAAAATTCTCGAGAGAAACAACACACAACAAAACAAACAACCAATCAATCATATTTCACAAGTCCTTTTTTTAAGATAACATTTTGCATCTCTAGACCTCGTAGCTTGACCTGCATTTGAAAAACTTTAATCTTTGGCAACAGCTGCCACTCGGAAACACGATTATTTCACAAACTTTCATCTTGTTCAACTTCATAATAATTGTTAGGCTATTATTTGCACCCTGAAACGGATTTTCCCTCGATCACGACAAGGAGTACATGGCAGGTGTGACTGGTTTGTAGGGGATGCTCACTCCTCCATGGCACCTGATCCCCTCTGGTGCCTTTGGAGGTCCATGTTACTCTGCTCCCGATGTGTTGAGCTCGATTACTATTTGTTATCTCCATTTTTCATGCAGTTAGGTGAAACTATGGATACCAAAGCTTATGTTAGTCCGTTTCCACATATTTACTTTCAACTATAAAATACACATTTACCTTTGTTGCGTGACAAATATAAAAGAAAACAAAATAATTGAAAATAAGAGTAAAGAATGGATGTAAAAATAGATAGTATATGATAAAAAATTCTGGAGGGATTTCTTAACCTAACAGTCAGTATAAATATAACGGTCATAAATAAAGAACAATATACATTAAAAAAAATCAACACTGCAGTCACAAGGATGAAAACCCCAATAAGAACATGTTAAAACATTAAAGCTGTTTAAAAATGTTAATATTAAATGAATAATTTCCAGTGAAAACAAAGTTAGATAATCCCACTCACTTATTTGTTCGTTTTTTCTTTTGTTATTTTCGTATTCTTGGGCAAATTCTCGATTTAATCTACAGTATATACTCTAGAACATTAATTTACACAAACAGTTCTACATCATCGCAAGCTTTGACATGTGTTGTTCCTGTGAACTGAAGTTAGGGAATTAATTTTTGTGTTAATTTAGTGGGCTGAATAAATTAAACCATGTCTGTGATGAGACTGTAGCTCTGTTGATCTGTGCTAAAAACAAAGGAAGAAAAGCAACATTGCTAGCAAAGCTATCCCAGTCATTCATCTGAAAAAAGTAGGTCAGATCCAGCACCTTAAAAAAATTGGTAGTGTGGAACCCTTTGTTCATCATCCTTGCAATAGGGCTATTGGATACTTGAACATTCTCCAAAGTATTAACCGTGTGTCTGGCAATACAGCATTTGACACCAATCAATGTTTCAAAGAATTTCATGTATTAAAGACAGCTTACTCTGTGCAAGAGAGTTGAGTAACACTTAAATAACATGAATGTTTATGATAAAGTTTCCAGTCCTAAACCCTCCTTATAGCTATAAAATGAAATATGTTATTTTTAAAAAAAAAAAAAAAAATCTTTTGACAGTCTGGCCCTTTTCTGGTGTTCTCATCTGAACAAAAAATACAATATTCAGTATTTCAGATTACTGTATAAGGGATTAATTTCACGGATTGTAATTTTCACATTTTTCTCTTCTTTGACACAGTCACGGTTTCTTGAATTCGCGGAATAGGTATATGATAAAAGTTTCCTCCTTTATCTATACCTATTGAAAACTTATTCACTGTTTCTTGAATTCACGGATCTATTAATACCGTGAATATAGCGAATATTAACACCGCGAGTTATTTTCCCCCTATACAGTATACACAACATCTGACAGGTAATATTGTACTAAACATTCAGAATTCTGATGTCATATTTGGAGTTGTAACATCATAAAATAATAGATTTCTGTTAAAATTAGTGCCAAATTTCTGGCACTTACAAATTATATCAGCCTCATTCACTTCCATTTAGCAGTTTTAAATATTTTATCCAACAGTTCTCAGAAGAATATTTCAAATGTCCTTCATGTATACACCGCTATAACATGCTGTCTGTCAGGACGAATGTTGTTTGCAGAGACTTGGAGGAGAGAAATGTTTAGTGATCGGGTTTTCAGAGATGGCCTTTTTGCACTGAAAACAAGTACTTCGTGAGCAGTTCCAGCAGCGTATGATGTTATCGTTATTGTTTCGGAGATTTTTTTGCTTGCAGAATGGACATCTCAGTAAGTTATCTCTCTGTGATGGATCTACTGCCAGGGTCATTTCAATCTTCGCAAAAATCTATTAAAAAAAATAAATGAAATTAATCATGATATGGATGTACCTTATTCAGAAGAGTTTTGGTGTTTTTATTTTCTTAATGCCTTAATGCTCATCTGAGTATACTCAGTACTACAAGGTGAAGGAGCCAAAGAAGTACATGTATAAAATAAAACAAAATAAACTGAGAAATGAAGCTATGCTGCCAAACTGCAGAAGATTTAGGATAATCAGAAACCAATGAAATTAATAGTCTTGTAACATAATGTATATCTATTTATTTGCAAGTACAGCAAAACTCGGTTATAACGAAGTCACAGGGACCTATGAAATTACTTCGCTATATCCGTAATTCGTTATAACCGTATAAGAAATTCATTAAATTTATATTGTTGGGGATTCAAGATGACTTCGCTATATCCGTAAATTCGCTATATCCGTGTTCGTACTAAGCGAGTTTTGCTGTACTTGCCTCATTTTTTTTTACTAACAACAAGTCTAAACAAAACAATAGTGCTTTAGCACTTTTAGTAAACCCAATTTACAATGGCCTGTCTTGGTCTTTGAGGACTATTTCACAAATCTGAGTAAAACCCATGCATGGACATAGAAGGATACGAACTTATGATATCTGAGTCTGACTGTAAATCTATACTAAACAAAAGGCCCATGATGCACCTGGGGGTTTCAAAGATGATTTTAAATAAGTTATATTCACAAATTTGTTTTCTATCCAATTTTTGCTGAATCTCTCCCCTTCCTTTTATGTTTTCATGAAGAGAACATTTGGTACAAAATCACTAATGATCAATCAGTTTTAACAATATTTGGTGTAAATTTCATGCAATTTCACCATGTACATACATTAACCTGATGCACCTAGTACCTCACACAGAAATATTATAAAACAATGCCCCTTTAGTCTTGTCCACATACTGTATACAGGGAAATTTAATTTCCATCCCTTTAGCCCTATACTCACAAGTGGGAATATTTAAGACAGGGTGAATTCAAAGAAGACCATAAAATATCTTAGACAGAACCATGATTCGATGGATTTGAAAAAGGGCAAAATTGTGAAAGAGGGATGGGGGGACACTTTCTGTGCAAAGATAGACATAATATAGGCATTGAAAATTGGGGTTTAACTTTTCTGTTTGTTTAGCCCCCCCCCCCCCTTTTAATTAGCCACCCTACTTTCAATTTTCCAACACCTATGTATTGGTTTAAATAAAACAGAACACTAAATCTGTAGTAATGGAGAATTTTATAAATTAACAGGGACAAGAAAAGACCTACTACAATAATCATGCACTTTTTGAAGATGTGTATTGAAAATGGTGCATGCTGCAAGAGAAAGCAGTTTGTCAAGAGATTGGTATATTTGGTATATTTTTTCATTGTGCAACTATAACAAGAGGCCCATGGGCCTTATAGGTCACCTGAGCATTATGAAACAACTTTCCAGTTATTGAATTTGATTCATGTTTTAAGCCAGATGCTGTGGCATTCACAATTTTGAAAGAGGTCCTGTTGATCATCATAAAAATACACTTAGCAGTTGCTTAGCTTGGTTACTTAATACCCATAGGCAGGGTAGGGGAACAAAAAATGCATTTCAACTAATCAATAATATTCAGCAATAATCAGTAGTGCCCTTACCACACATGAACCCCTGACCCTTAGGCCTAGATCCACACACTGCACAATTTTTGAATAGGCATCCTTGCTTTTCAAAAATATTTGATTACTACCAAGGAGAAGATTTCAAACAATTCATTCATTTTCAGTATATAAGTACAACCCCCCCCCTCTATGGTACCCCAGACCCTGAAGCCTTGAAATTCACAATTCTGCAAGATTAGGGCCCTTGCTCATCATAACTATATAGGTAGTTCATCTGCTTCATACCCAGAGACAGAGAAGAAAATTTTCAAAGATTTAATGTAATTTCATTATATAATCAATAGAGCCCCGCCCTAACACCAAAACCCCTGACGCTGGGGCCATAACACCAGAAAAAGGTGAAATTTCCCTGAGTGGTGGAATTATGTGTAAACAAATAAATAACAATTTTAAAAAGAGTTGCTATTTCTTGATCTTTTTATTATTTCATCATAATTATGTACTTAGTTAGTTTATTTTATTCTTTAAATGAAATACAGAGAAAACAATTGTTTTTGCAAGTGGGAATAGGTGGCATGTGAGATTTTAATATATAATCAAAAGAGCCCTGCTAGGGCCATAACACAAGATACCCTGACCCTGGGGCCATAAAATTCACAATTTTGGTAAAAGCACTCTTGCTCATCATAACTATGCACTTAGTTTAAGTTAGTTTATTTAATACCTACATGTAGGAGGAGAGAATAAGATTTTCAAAGAATTCATGTATTTTCACTATATAATCAATAGAGCCCTGCCCTAACACCAGAACCCCTGACCATGGGGCTATAAAATTCATAATTTTAGTAAAAGCACTCTTGCTCATCATATTAACTATACACTTAGTTAGTTTATTTAATACCTAGGAGCAGAGAAGAAGATTTTCAAAGAATTCATGTATTTTCACTATATATAATCAATAGAGCCCCGTCCTAACACCAGAACCCCTAACCCTGGGGCCATAAAATTCACAATTTTGGTAAAGGCACTCTTGCTCATCATAACTTTGTACTTAGTTGGTTTATTAAAGACCACGGAACATTAACTGGCAAAATTGGAAATATACAGTTTACGTCATTTTTATCTGTCACAATAAAAACATTCAGTGATAGACAACGAAATGGGCGGGTACAATTCGACGCGGACGTTTGGAAAACATCAGATTGAAATAGCAGATCAAAATTCATTTTCAATCCACCTGAGCTGTTTTCAAAGCAAAGAGTGAATGTATGATCCAAAAATCAACTATATTTCAACTCCCAAATACATATTGTTTGAAGTTCACATTAATATATGAGTTTTAGCTTATAATTTTAAGGACGCGAAATATCATACAAGACAAAGATTATTTTCAGGAGATATTTGATTCTAGAAGGGGGGGGGGGTAAAAAATTGTCGAGTCAGGTCATAGCTTAACATGACAATATATTTTATTTCTAGGATTATAAGAGTGCATGAGTTTTATACTTATTCTCACTGAAAACTGTTGGACAACTTTATTTAAAAATCGTTCAACCCCCCCCCCACCACCACCACCAACACAAAGATATACATATATTTACCAAACAGAAATGAAATATTTCTCCCTTAAATATTTATTCATTTAAAACACTGGACAAAAAAATTCAAACTGTACCAAAATTGAAATTATTTGTCTTCTGGGTCAATCAGTAATAATGTGCCTTCTAGCGTAGCTGAGGTGGATTGAAAATGAATTTCGATCTGCAATTTCAATCCGATGTTTTCCAAAGGTCCGTGTCGAATTGTACCCGCCCATTTCATTGTCTATCACTGAATGTTTTGCTTGTAACAGATAGAAATGACGTGAGCTGTATATTTCCAATTTTGCCAGTTAATGTTCTGCGGTCTTAATACCCAGGAGCAGAGAAGAAGATTTTCAAAGAAATAATGCATTTTCACTATATACTTACAATGTATTTAGCCCTGCCCTAGCACTAGAACCCCTAAGCCCAGGGCCATGAATTTCAAAATTTTGGTAGAGAACTCTATGCTGATTACAATCACGCAAACAGTTTGACTGCTTGATGTCCAGGAGTACAGAAGAAGATTTTTAAAGATTGCATTAATTTTTGTGGTTTTGGCCCCAGGGGGGCGGGGATCATGAAATTCACAATTTTTGTTCCCTTTCACCCATTGATGCTTTCTGCCAAATTTGGTTGAAATTGGTTCAGTGTTTACAGAGAAGAAGCTGAAAATGTTCAAATGTTAACAAATGTTAAACGACGGACGACGACGGACGAAAACAGATAGCAATAGGTCACCTGTGTTTACTCAGGTGACCTAAAAATCAGAATTACCGGATTTTGAACTCTCTCTCGTAGATGTACAGGTCTAAACATAACAGGTATGTCTACTGCTCCACCATCATTGTAAAAGTTGTTTTCCTCAAACGTTTGTGGAATCGTGGTCAAAGCACATTCACCAAAATGTTCATACGACTCCCTTGTAATATCTTTACCACAGGCCCAGCACATACTGTGATTACAATAAACGCAAGTAACCTTGTTACATCTGAAAATATAAGAAATACAGAATGTTAACAAAGAACAAGGTTCACTTTTGGCTTATTTTGGCCCTGTAAATTTCTGAAAAACTGAAACTGCTTAATTTTACTTAACAATGCATTAAGTATCATTTAGACTTTTGGTGATTGCATGTCTATCAAAAATGATGTAATTTTCTGGCTAGTCAATGCAGTATGATGACACAAAATGCATCAGTTTCCTCATATTCTGAAAAAGTTGACAAAAACAGCCACTTTTTAAAGCTATTTTTAATATTTAATATAGAGCGCAATCTCTGATCTAAAATTGTCAACCAGTAAATAATACAACCGTTTCTGAGTATTACAAGACATGATTTATTGTTACGATCATAAGGTGCGCTCATATTATTTTTCTTCTCTGAAAGTACTCAAATATACCTGTTTACATTAAAATCCAAGAACATTACAAACCCATAAAGCCTGTGTTCCAAGACCTGGAGTTTAAGGAGAAAAATTTTAATAGGAAATGAAAGTATTAAGTCTCTACTTTATTTTGATATCTAAAATGGATCATAAAGTGTTGATAAATTGGTATATCTACAGGATCGTTTTATGCATAAAGTGAACCGAGCTCTTTGTCATTAATTTTCATCACTAATTTAATAGCATTTTTTTTAATTATTTGAATTTTTAGTCAGAATTGACAAAATTTAAAGAGCATGCATCTTTAATATTAAAAGAATGTAGACTTAATAATATTGGTAAAGAGGAGAATTTATGCTACTTGTAGGCAATGCTTTCACAAAGAGCTAAAATGACCTTGACTCTAGAAATGTGGGTGAAGATCCCTACCTATTCTTTATCCAAAGGCACTCCATAAATAATAATTATATGGTTCTGATTGTGCCTAAAGAGTACAGGATAAATTTACAAGTTAAATTGTAAATATACTCTGAACACAACTTTTTTTCACAGTTTTCTTTTTACCTTGCCCTTTGATCAGAAATACATGTATTGGTTCAAGGTCTCTGCATATCCTTTCCTCACAAGCACCTTTGGTGTGAAGTATGGTCCTAACTGGGTCAAAGGGAGAAGAACAAGGATTAAAGGTCATTCCACAACAAGGATTTAAGGTCATTCCACACTCTCCTTAAAGCACTCTTTAGGTGAAGTATTAACCAGAAGGGCCAGGGGGAAAGAAATTAATCTCACATGAAGGATTTCAAAAATGATCTGCTTTGACCTTGACCTAAATTTGAGCAAGATTTTAAACAAAGGTGTTTATTGAACTTGACCGTTGACCATAAAACTTCATTTGAGGTAACTGGACTCTATGCACAGCCTCTACCCATGGCCACTTATTAAGTATGAACCAAATTAGGCCAAGAAAAAAAATTAATACATATAGTCAGGACAAGCGATAGATGGAAAGACTCCAGATGTCCAGACTGATCAATGTATAGCATCAGACAAGGGCCCCTTATGAACCCCCCAAAAATTGTTAGGTTGCATAAAATAAGGATTTCTCTTTTTAGAACAAACATGTACTTCTAACTCTCAGATTAACTTCCATTTTTTTTTAAAGATTGTTCATGTATCATAAATTTGATCTTTTGGACATCATACCCAGACATTTTTGAGATGTCCAGTTTACAGTTTGGGCATGGTCTTGAAGTTTTGGCTATGATGTCACGGCTGAGCTTTTCTTCACGTTTACGGGCCATTCTCCTTAGTTTTTCATCTTTAATTTTCTTTTCAATTTCGGTCATAGGCAATTCCTTCTCATTTTCTTCCAGTTCTGCATAACATTTTCCCTGCCAAAGAAAATGAGTGATTCACAGACTCTGATGTGATAATTACATTGATTATTTCTTTTTATCCCCCCCCCCCACAATGTTAACAAGATAGTATTTTTTTCTGAAATATAACAGATTTACTGAAAAATTAATAAAACATGAAGGGGCATGATTTAAATAAGTTTAGTAAAATTGTGTTCATAATTGAACTCAAAAATTTTTTAAAATCTGGGAAAAATATTTTATTTTAATGAGTCCAGAATGGCACAATATCTTAACTTATCCCAGTAAAAAAGACTCTTGTAAATTGACATATCATAGCCCTGTCAATCTTTTTTGTACCATACAGTTACATGTATTAGTTTAGTTGTCTAATAGCAGAAAATTTTGTACATTTAATTTGATTTGGAAAAAAATTGCAATTTAAAAATGGAAAACTGAGGAATAAAATCACAAAATTTTCCAGTACAGAAATGGCCAGTGACATGGATTATGCCTACTATACAGTGCTCAATACCGACACCCAGCTTTTATTTTTATATTTACATTGGATATATCAATTGCAAGTCATAAATATGCATCACAGTAACATTTGCACATTTATTTGAAAATTGTAGCCTTGTTATTCCTCATACATTAAAACATGCTTATAAAGAATCGATCAACTCTTGCTGCAAAGTGATTTTCATTCACCTTGACTTTAAAATATATCGAATTGATCATACACAATTTTTGTTTGTTTGTTTTTAATTTAAAAAAAAGAGAAAAAATATGTGACTTTATAATCTTTAACCTTTAAGTTAAAGTCACGTTTGGATCATGATGTATGTGACAAATTCCTGCAGTCACAGCTTGCATTGTCTGAATAAATGTAATCTAATGAACCAAGGCTATATTAAGTCAAGGCCTAAATATAGCCTTCTGCATTCTGACATCTTGAAAAGCATTGTGACATCATATTCAGTGGAATATGTTTAAGACATGGTACCATGGTTTCAACTGCAGACATATCCCTCATTTTGGAGGTCAAATTTTAAACTAGGTTGCAGGAAAAACAAAATTTTTGATTACTCTCATGAAATATATATGAAAAATCTGTTAAAAGAAGTATAACTGTATCAAAAAAAGATTTAAACTCTGACCTGAAGTTATCTCAAAGGATAGAGTCATGTATACCAGGTATCACATATTTTGGCACAGTAATACTTGGTAGAAAATCAGAAATTTTTATATCATTTGGATTCTCCTTGCATTTTTTTCTCTATCCACACTTTTATTTTCAAACTCATGTCTGTAATCAGAGTTTATTTACCTGGTGCCATGGTTCCTGGCACTCGGTACAGAAGCTGTAAACACACGCCACACAGTGACCCAATTTAAGCTCAGCCTCCTTTTCCTGAATGACAGGGTTGTGACAACGGGGACACCAAACAATGTCCCCCATACAATCCAGTCCTTTCTGAAATGTGAACTGTCTTTGTAACTACTGGTGTGATTCAAAATACTGAGACGGGAGCTGTGGTAAAACAGTTGAAAAACATCAAAGCATAATCTGACCATATACAAGTATTGACTGAACCAGAACCATTTTCTTTTTATCCGTTTTAGATTAATGAATTGTACCTTAAACAGATGATGAAAAATACATTTACATAGACTTTTACAGTTTTAATGTTCAAATATAGTTGAAGAGTTCATGAAGAGGTGTACTGTGACTGTTATATTCTTAGCCAATCAAGGTCTAGCTTTTTACCGTTTAGTCTCAAAATCACAAATTTTATTATTTTTTTTTAGTACAATAAGACATACCCTTAACGAGAGTGTTTCATATCTTTCACGCTCCTCATCAGTAAGGTTAGACAACACTACAAATGGGGGAAAAACAGCAGTTTTACACCTATACATCATATAAAACAAGAGGCCCATGGGCCACATCGTACTGAAGCTTTATATATACAGATTTCCCCTTTGTTATACATAATGCATCCCCACCCTACCCCACTGATCATAATTTAGACATTTTGTTACACTACCCCATGATCCTTCCATGGGCACATATGTTTCAGATTTTTTGGCCCAGTGGTTCGACTGGTTCCTGAGAAGAAGATTTTCAAAGATTTTTCCTATATATTTCTATGTAAAATATTGTTATAACCCCTTCCCCCTAAACAATCCCTACAATAATTTTACACTACCCCAAAATGCACATAAGCTTCACTTTTTCTGGCCCAGTGGTTCTGAGAAGAAGATTTTCAAAGATTTTTCCTATATATTTCTATATAAAATTGACATTGTGGCTGCCTTTGCTGACATCAAATTTAGAATCTACATTATACCAGGATGCTTCCACATAATTTATATTGGCCCAGTGGTTCTTGAGAAGAAGATTTTCAAAGATTTTTCCTATATATTTCTATGTAAAACTTTGATTCCCCATGGTGGCCCCACCCTTCCCCTGGGGGTCATGATGTGAACAATTTAGAATCTACACTATACCAGGATGCTTCCACATAAGTTTCAACTTTTCTGGCCCAGTGGTTCTTGAGAAGAAGATTTTCAAAGATTTTTCCTATATATTTCTATATAAAACTTTGATTCCCCATTGTGGCCCCGCCTTTCCCCCGGGGGCCATGATTTGAACAACTGTCTACACTACCCCACAATGCTTACATAAGTTTACTTTACTGGCCCAGTGGTTCTTGAGAAGAAGATTTTTTAAAATCACACATTTTTGTCTTTTCTACTTCTCCCCTTGCGAGGGGATATGTCCCTTCATTTTAACAATTTCAATTTCCCTTTAGAGAAGGATGCTTTGTACCAAGTTATCAAAATTGGCCCAGTGGTTCTTGAGAAGAATCGAAAATGTGAAAAGTTTAGACAACACTACAAATGGGGGGATTTCTGATTTACAGTCAGTTTCTGGACACCTGAAAGGCATATCATATAAAAAAAGCATTATATAATTTTACCAGGAAGTATGTGTTCATGTACTATAAAGTTTGAAACAATGGAGTTTTGGCATGATATCTATTTCTTGGTTATAAAATATGAAGACTCACAGAAGATTTAAGACGTTGCCATCCTTAATGTGTGTTCTGCAATGCTCATTCACACAGGTCTGACAGAAATGATGTTTACAGGGCTTTAACCTCAGAAAACTGGTCCCTGTCTGCTGATCAAAACATATCCCACACTCCTGTTCATTCTGTTGAAATTCCTCCTCATCTCGATGCTGGTCATACCTGAATTTTTCACACATACGTAGAATGACTTAAATTTACCACACATTCAGACGATGGCCTAAATTTATCACACATTCAAACTATGATCTAAATTTACAACACCTTAATAAGCTTACCACACATACACATGTAAATACCGTATATAAGGAAATTTTCAGCTCCCATTTTATTTTTGCCCCTTTCACCCTTCCCTCATTTGGGTGAATATAAAATGGAGTGAATTCAAAGTATAATTTCTTTAACTAAACTATGACTGGGCATATTTAAAACGGGGCAAAATTGTTCACAATTGTGAAAGGGCAAAAATAACATGGGGCGAAAATAACCACATTTACAGTACCATGAATTAAATTGAAAACAGTATCCATGACAATTTAGCTTCAACAAGAAAAAAAATCATCTGCAAATTTATTCAGTGTAATTCCCTGGTATAAGAATATTTTATACAGGTCTAAAACTTACCTCATGATACTTGTGACAGCTTCCTCTATTTGCATATAGTCAGATATAACTCGGGTGTCCCCATCCTCAAAATCATCTTGCAGCAATACTTTATCTCTCAGACCTAGGTGTCTATGAAGACAAATGAAATATATATCACTCTATATTCTAAAAAATATCAGGTTCCTAGCTATTCATATTATCAGTGGTATGCAAAAGAAAACTGGTTTTTGTTTTCTTTAGCTGCATATTAACTGACTGAATGATATACAATCAAACTTTGTTATCTTAAAGTCAGTGGGACTGAAAGAAAAAAAAATTAGAAATATAACAGAAGATTTGAGATAACTAGGGTAAAATACTTAAAGGAAAAGAGGTTTGGGCATCTAAAACACTTTGACATATCCATTGAATTTGAGATACCAATGTTCAAGATTCTGAAGTTCAACTGTTTAAATGGACCTTACTCTGTGACATTCTCTTGTAGCCAGGTGATCCATGTAAACAGAATTGGCATGGACATTGACTCCTCCCACAACCTGTCCATCATTTCACACAATGAGGTCATCTGGGGTGAGATCAACCAAGGACAAGACATGGTAAACTTTGGAGGGGCACTACTAGGGTATTCATGGGGGAGCACAAAAGTTAAGCTGATTGGGTATAAATACTTGACATTTAAAGAAGCAATAATCCTCATTCCTACAAAAGTTAAAGAAACTGACAAACAATGCATTTTCATATTGCTGCTGCAAGATAAAATATTTGGCCAAATGTAAGAAAATGTAAACATATTTCTCATACTTTATAAGATCTTCTGTGCAAAATTTTAAACCCTTTATTGTGCACGGAAAGTACCACAGAATTCAAATACTGTAAACGTGGAAATTTTGACAATGTGCTAATTTTGACTATATGGACGATTTTTCTTTTCTCATCAAAATTTGCACTTGTCAATCTTCAAATCATATATATATACAGACAAATTGTACAACTTTATATTTCTCGGCTTTCACCTATTTATAAGTTACTGTTAATATCCTTTGTACGTGTAATTAGTTATGAAAACATAGTGATATATAATCACACTTTTTAAAAACCATTGAATATAAATTAATGTATCAAATACTTGCATGTGTAACTTAGCGTAATTATCACGCCGTGCTTTATCAAATTTGTCACCTCAGGTAATTGATCACTAACAATGAAAATCAAAGTACAAAAGGGTAATTTATGTAACCGAGTCTTACACACTTATAGGGTTTGTACAATCTTACACACTGTAGATGGTCTAACTCTAACTCTGAAATTCATTTTTGACTTTGTGAATTCAAAGATACATTCAAATTTAACACTTGTCAAGCACTCGTCAATATAACCACGTTTACAGTTAGGAAAGTTAGGAATTTTCATATGGAATACAGCTTTTAACATTCAAATTTCAAAGCATTTACCAGAGTCAGATCTTCTGAAGACAGCGGGGTCAACATCTTTCTCCAGCTCTTTAGATGGCATACATATGTCCACTGTCACTGTTCTACCAGAGTTATCAACAGGAATGGCTACCTGCAATATTAGAAGGTGTTAAATGTGAAAAAGTTGATTTAAGAAATCACTGTCTAGTTAGTATAGTATGCCAGGGCATTTTCTCCTTTCCTGTTACAGAAAAAAAATTTGATGCTAAGGATTTGAGATTTTTGGAATTAAAAAGGTGAAAGTCCTGACCAGGAGGTAATGAAACTTGGGTTGTGTCTTCCAAATCAGATATAAAGACAATTTAAGAGACCATAATTTTAGCTGGATCCTAGAAACAAGTTTAAATTACTAAGGCCTAGAAAAAAAAAATATGCTTGTTTCCGCTTTCAGGCTGAAAAAATATAGGGTAGGTAGGTAGGCAAATTTTTTTTTTTGAAATTTTTTTTTTTGAAATTTTTTTTTTTTTTTTTCTCTTTAATCCTGTTACAACTTAGAAGTAACATTAATGACAAAAGAAATTGTGTTTTCAAGATATTCAAGGATTTAAATTGTAATAGATGGTACAATAATTTCTGTCTTGAAAAGTACAATGTATACTTAGAGTGAAGAGTGAGAGATCTTGCACTTCAATGGGACAAAAGCAAGAAACTAAAATTTTTAGCTGGATCCAAGAAATAAATTTATTAATAAGTCTTAAAATTTAAACAAACACTTTTTTGAAAGGCCTAATGTCCTAAAAGTTAATAAGTACTTTCCATAAAAAGATCGACAATACAAGTGAGGACTACAAAGATCTGAATATGCCATGAACCCATTAACATCCCCTCCCCCTACTAAATGTAGAGAGGTGGATGAGAACAACTCACCTGTATAGAATAGACTCCATCTGTTGGGTTATCATCCACATCTGTTTCTGGACGACAAAGAACATTTAATCCTACCACTCCCTCACCAGGTCCATATATTGATTCCAAAGCTAGCATCTATATAAATACCAAAAAATTCAATAATAAACTCTAAAGTTTAAACAAAACAGGCTCTTGTCATTTGGCAAGAGTCAAATAGGAAAGCAGCTTGCCTGTGAACATTTTTCCAGAAATTGCAGGTAACTAAGCAGTAGCCAATCAGTCAATGCAGTCTTGCTTTCAGAAATTGAAACTTTCAATGATTGTTTTATAATATTTTTTACCTCATCGCTCTGTTCCAAGTAGTTGTTCTTGTGATGCAACGCCCACTGTTGACAACCGTGCTCAACACCTCCTGTGGCCATTTTAGAAGTGTTCCGATTATGTCATCATGTACAAGTACTGTACATCACCTGTTGCAACTTAACTTAATTCATAAAAGATTGCACAACACACACATCACAGTTACATTATCGATGGTGATTCTTGTTTCACTTTTAATGTTTGTTTGTTGTTGTTTCGCAATACTTCCGGTTTTATAGAATTAGATAGCTCGACCGAAGTTTCTTCAGCTATAACAACCTCTCTCGTAAAGGGAGAAAACATACTAGATTATACTTAAAAATTGCGTAAATATTGATACTTTTGTATACTGTATGTTTTTAAATGAGGTTGAAAAACATAAACAACTAAAATTTGTGGAAGAGAGATGGGGGGGGGGTGTCCTTTTAACCAGCCTCCAGTCCTCAATGGTGCTGCACTCTGTCAACTGAAATACTCCTGAAATGTGTTTCAGCTTACGGAAAAAATTGCAGAAATGGAAAAATAAAAGATGTTAAGTTAAAAAATAGGTCAATCTTGAACTTTCAGCTTATGGCCTTAAAAGTCAATAGGGGTCCTTTTATGTTGAAGAAATCCACAATTCCTTGTTTCTCTAATTACAATTCGATCTGTCAATAAATTTACTCTCTAAAACTATCACTAGCCAATTCACCAGTCCAATATGTAGTAAAGTTGCATCCATGATACACTGATAATGATTAAAACTAAATGTCAGTATTAATACTTTTGTTAAAATAAACCTCAAACTAATAACAGGGTTTGACATTAAGCTTTTTTGCAACTCTGCAAATTTTTAAAATAACCACTAACCCTGAACAAACTTGATAAAAAAATATTTAAAGCATGAAATGGTGATCATTTATGAATAACTTTATTTATAATCTGTTTAATTGTATTGGTTTATCTTCAACTATGTGATCCATATTTTAATAACGAAATTTTCCCACACACATCGAAACTAAGTCATATACATGCGGCTTGTCGTGTTTAGTCCAAAACTTAAATTAATCAACTTGAATACAATATAAATATGATACCATTAAAATTAATTTTATTAAAAATAATGTTAATTAATAAAATTTTATTGCCAATACAGTTTTCGTAAACATCTTTCGGCAATGACAAAACAAGCCATTTCCACGAGCAATAATTATAAATAGCTTAAGTTTTTCTTAAGGAAAATGGCCGAGTAGTTACGAATGGCTATAATGACTGCTGTCAATAATAGCACTTCCGTCATGCTATCTGTTACATATTAAGTTTTCTTTCTACTATTCTGTTAGAAACGTTTTGATTTTATTTTTCATTGACAATAAAATTGTTTAAAATTAAAGTTCATTATTTTTTCTTACACGACCAGTCTGTCTAGTACACAGACATTTTACCCGACCGGACCCATCTTTTACTAGACTCAGTCTATCAGACGTGCCTTAATGTCAAACCCTGAATAACACCTTTTCATAAACAAGACTTCACTATGAATAACTTAAAATAAATTATTAATTTTTCAAATTGTTTGAAAAGTTTCACGAATGCAAACAAATGAAAATGACATCATGATCTTTATTTCATCTTATGAACATAAACAAAATCATTTGTACATATACCCAGTTCACTAACAATCAGTCTTGTGTGATCATATCACACTTAAAGAGGACAAAAACTGTAATCTTTATACACTGTTAGAAGGAACAGGACACTACTGTCTTCACATTTGAAGCATTTATGCTGGAGCACTATGTTTATTCCACCCACTTATGTTTCTGTCACATGTAAGATTCAAGTAGATCCAAACACAGCTTCAACCACTTCTGGAAGTCCCACCTCCTTTAATGCAATCTTCAGGGTACCTGTCGTTGCTCTTTCTCCCTCATTTTCCTGAAGAAAAAAATTACTTATAAATTGCAAAATAAATTCCAGAATTTTTGAAGTTTTCCTTCCTATATTATCTGCTGTCTGCCATATTTCACCTTCCCATTACTAATATTAACAGGTATGAATGTTAGAACTGTAAAAAGCATTTATGATCTCATACCTGCCAAATTGTCAGCATCTTTTTAGCACAAGCGACCTTTTCGCTGTTTTCACTCTCAAAGTAAGCCATGTCCTCCTCAGGGAAGTTTAGCTCCATACCCAGTCTCTTCCAATCCTCCCCCAGTTTCTCAGCCAACAGGTCAATCTGATCCTTGGACAGAATGTCTTCTGGTACACCTGCATAAATAAGAGAAATAACTCATCAAGACAACTCTCTTCTATAAGAATATAGGGTTGATTATATCACAGATAAATTTTACACAGAATTTATCTTTATCATCTTTGTATAACAACTCGTTCTTCAAAACTCTAATATTCCTCTCTTTCCTCATCCCCTCAGAAGTTACAAGGATAATTCAATTTGACCCCCCCCCTTTGAAATCCTATGCTCTATAAATCTCTTCCTTTCCCCTTTTGTTCCCCACATCCCCCCTCCCTCAGCATTTCACTTTATTCATAATTCATATTTGACCCACCATACATTATAATGTTGTTAACAGCTCATAAAAATCACACATCCAAATCCCCAGGCCCTACCTTGCTCCTCATTTTGACGTTTGAGTTCCTCTTCCTCTTCGACCTCTTGTGCCTCCTTTATTGCCTCATCCTCACCAAGCTCTGTCCTCATCTCCTCCTGACCTGTTTCTTGGGATACTTCCCCATTGGCTCCCATGGACGGTAGTTCTTGTGCGATCTTGTTCAACATAACCTCTAAGTACTGAGGAAGTGGCATGGCTGGCGTGTTGTTCAGTCCAAAGAAATGGGGACTTCTTCTGGCCAGAAGTCGTAATGACTTCCACTGGAATACAGCATTATTCACAACTCTACAATGGAAAGAATTTCCTTCTCAGCCTTTACCCTATTTAGAGATGCAATATCAAACATAATTCTTGCAATATTTAAGTCATTCAAAACTATTCTGCTATTTTATTTAAAACATTTTAAGTCACAACTTGTATTGCAATCACAAACTGTAATCATTTTTACTTGTATTGTTCTTCAAATTGATTCTCTGGATTTGCTTGTTCCATTGCATCAGCGAAAAACTCCTCCAAAGAAGGTAAAAATATTCTGCAAAAAATTAAAATTTCTGTCAGTCATCCATAATACACATACAAATCTAGTTTGATTTAAAAGTATTTTTTCTAATAAGATATGTATGGGATTGTATGACAGTTTTTTTTTTTATCTTTTTAACCTTTTCTCTGCTTTGCAGGCTTCCAGGTTATCTGGGTTTATATTCCACAATCGAGTGAGTTCAGCACTCCCCATCTTAATTATTTTTCCGCCGTGAGCTTGAAGATCATCCCCAACAAAACGTCTCTTAGCTCTGTAAAAAGAATTCTGCCAATTATTATTAGTCATTTATCAGCCATTAACTAATTAAACTGATGCAAGATTAAAACTAGAAAAAAAATTATTAGCTAGGTTAATCATCTATACATCAATAAGTGGAAATTTTAGCGAGATGCAAATTAAGCAATTTGTCCATAAAAATTGGTATTTTATTTTTAGTAACATGTACATGTAATTTTAGCGATTTGAAAATGCTCACTAAAGGAGCTATTATAAATAAAACACAATTAATTTCGCGCAATATATAATTTCAATTTTAGCAATCTCAGTACCCTCGCTAATAATGCCAAAATTAAATCTTCGCTAAAATTTCTGCTTATATTGTATAATAAATTTAAGCTAGAGGTACTGTGAGCTAATAATGCCAAAATTAAATCTTCGCTAAAATTTCTGCTTATTTTCATTTGTATAATAAATTTAATCTAGAGGTAATGTGAGCACTGTGCCCACTAAATGATACCCCCCCTTCACATCTGATTATAATGGCAAAGTCAACGTTTTGCTCTGGAAGACCTGAAATAAGTGTCAGATCAAAATTTAAAATAGGGGGTGCACAATGGCACTATGTAACAAAGATTCTGTGAAAGTTGCATTAAATTTCATTCAGTGATATAAGAGGAGTTGCGGATAAGAGATGGGTACCCCAAAGCGTAACACACAGGCAGACTGACGGACATACAGATGGACAGACATCCCAATTACTATATACCCTCCTACTTTTCAAGCAGGGGGTACAACAAAATTCTCTGTATGTAATATCTATAGACAATGGCCACAGAGGTTTGCAACATGAATGAATTTTCACTATTATCTGGTGTTAAATCACTACACAAGACAAGTGCTTTATTTTTGAGGAGAAGAAAACCTGTCCAAACCTTGACTTGAATTTTGTCTCCTCTTCCATATTTCTTGCAAAGTTGGGACATCCTTCATTTTTCCACTTATTCCAGTGCTCTTCCCTTCCTAGGATGTGCTACAGGTAAAATCAGAGATTGATTACACTAAAAGTAGTAACACTGCCAGTACAGTCTAAGGTTGTTATTACTTTGAAACTGCATGATGTCAGTTAATAATTAGAACAGATCTTTTGATGAGTTAAAAAGGTGCAGTCATAACATGATGCTGCTTCTTGTCCACTCATATGAGGCTAATATATATATATATATATATATATATATATATATATATATATATATATATATATATATATATATATATATATATATATATATATATTTTTATTTAATATTTTAGCTCTCTACAAAATTTATATAACAGCATCTTGAGTTACTATTTATAGATTCTTTAATGCATATCGCCTTTATGCTTTTAAAAGTGGAAATAATTTTCAGTAAAACAATATTTGTGCTGAATTCTTAACAGCAAGATAGAGCATGACTTGATTTTTCTAACAAAAAAAATTGTGCTTCAACTCTTTATTTATAATTGTGATGTTCTGTAATAATTAGTAAGACTTAGATGCCTTGGAGAAGAATCTACTTTATGTTAAAACATATAATAGATATGTTTTTTTCAAAAATCAATACAAAACTTAATTAGAAAAGGAAATCCCTTAAATTATTCTATCGGTACAAAGAATAACACACATTACATTATTAAAGGCAGAGATTTTTAGCAATGCCTTCAAAAATACCTGGTCTGGGTAGCCCTGTCAATCAACTGCATGAAGGTCCACAATTGGATGCTGGAACTTGATTGACATTTTCTGAATGGTCCCTGTGTATACCCTGTACACCTTGTAAGGGACTCATGGGGACCTTCAAATTAACTTTTGATCCTTTGATGTTTACCGAACATGGTATAGAGAAACTGCATAACTATGAAAAAGTTTTGCTTGATGATATATGAATTAAAGATACCTTTAGTTTTTAAAAGGATTATAATATAATATACATTTTTTCAAAAAATATAAAACTTTTTTTTTCCAATGAAATTTTTATTTTAATTTTAATATGCTAAACTGTAAATTATATGCTAAAGTGGAAATGTAATTGATTAAGTTTAGAGCAGCATTGTGTGAAGTAATTAAATTTGGAAAATATTCATGAATGTTTCTAATCATGGGTTGTTTATATTTTCCTTTGTTATTCAGATTTCAGAAGAATTTAATTTACGAGCAATCTTATTGTGACAAAGCCTTATTAAGATTACGATAACATGGATAAACCTAAGAAAGATTTTTTATGAAATGTAGTTCACTCAACTTTTTATTTTAATAGATCGGACCCTTCCCTGGGGATAAATGAATTAATTAGATAATTTGGTTGTTACTGGCATTTTTTTTAATAATTAACACATACACTAACATCTAAAATAATCTTTGTTTTAATATTTGTAGATATCATAATATTTTTTTAACAGTGTTTTCAAATATTCAAAAATGAATCAATATGCTATTAGATTATTTAGACTTTCCTTACAACTTTTCACTTCTAATTTAAAATTGTCTCAAAATCCCCAACACAGGTAAAGTTTGACACCTGGGGTATTTCACTGTGTATTAAATCACTTCCTGTGTATAGGGCATGACCACAGGATGTCAAGGCATTCACACCTGTACAAAATAATTACTACCCGGTAAAAAATCTCTGCCTTTAAGCACATTTTTTTTTTAATCTCTAGTCTCTCAGTGTTAAAAAAAGACAAGCGAGTGGTGATTTTGTCCATCTCTGTAAAAAAAATAATATAAGGTGCATAGATATATCATAACGACCTCGCACTTCGTGCTTGGTCGATATGCTTTTTGTGAAGTCAATATATCGACCTCATCAAAGGGCTATATTTATATAATATATATACAGTGTATACACCTGAATAATCCGACACACTGTGAATTATAAATTTCTTTCCCATTTTATATTCTCCTTGTATATATAATATATATCCCAGTGCATGTCGGATTAGACAGGTTTCACTGTATATATATATGAATATATGATTAAAACTAATTAATGCACGTCATTGTTAAAACTTCAGTTAATAAGGACAACTGTGTCAAAATGAACGTTAACAGTACATTTATATTTTTTATTTCTTACAAAAGCCATTGGCTGCACAACCAATTTACTACTTACACCCTGATTCCTTAATGTTCATTAAATAAACCGATTGACTGAAGTGACTTGTGTGTGTTACCTGCACAGTTTTACAGAATTGTTCACCATCAGGAGGGGTTTCCTTGATCAGCTGGTAAACTTTATCTTGAGTTGTTTTAACCCACGTACTCTGTTCATCAGTTAGAGTCTGACTAGCACTAAATGAAACAAAATATTCAAGGTTATCAAAAATATGATTCAATAAAGTACATCATTCTCTTCAAAATTTTACATAGGGGTATCCTAATACATATACTACATGTAGTATGTTCATGTTGAAATCTGTTTAGACACAGTTTTCACAGTAATATTTAAAATGTTCAGAGATATTACTTGTGTTTTAATTTTTATTTTTAACTCTACAAGATCTGAAATTCATTACCTCTTGAATTTGACCTGAGAATTTAGATACTGAAATACGATGAGGAACTGAACAAGCACATATCTTCTGAAGTTACTGTCATTCAGTTGTAAATCAAGCAGCTGAAAAAGAAAAAAATTGACACAAGTTTTTATTTTATAAATCATTTCGTTCTAAGAAAATGAAAACAGATATGGGAATAATGTTTGATTTGTTTAAAAATGTCAACTGTATCCACACTGTATCCACCAGGGTCTTACATCTGATAAAAATATTATAATAAAAAAATGGGAGAGGTTTAAAAGGCTGATTGTGGATGCCTAGGCTGGAGTGTTCAAATGTTTGTTTTAAAGAAAGGCTGGACACTTTGTCATAGTGGAACTTTCAGTGAAAATTCTTTACCTTTTCACTGGTCAAATACTTGGCAAAAAAGGCTTTGGTATCTGCTGGGCGAGGCAAATCTAACTTCCTTCTTGAAGATTTTAAGTCATCAAGTTTTGCACTGGCAAATGCATTCAGAACTACATCTGCATTCTAAAAAGCAATGACAGTATATGATTAGATATGCTTATAGTTTCTGATTGAGTACCAAAGACTTCACCATTTGAAGACTATGAGTGGTTACATTAGAAACAAAAAATTGCTAAAGATGATAATGCCAGGTTGCAAAGTATTTACAATGAATATGTGTAATATAAAACAAAAACATGTATTTGTTATTGATATGATTCTAATATACCAGTTCATTGAAAGAAAAAATGAAACTGAGGCATTTACCAATTCAAAAATTAAGGGGTTAAGCAGAATTGTTCCTGCAGACAGATGGAGGGAAAGAGAGACATGAAAACGTCAGGTATCATAATCATCAATTGGCAGGCCAGATTCTGCTTTATAATCTGGCCAAAATGTATTGGTATTTTTTTTCTTTGTAAGAAGAAATTTTAAAAATTGCTTTTATACATGTAAGTGCAACACAACAATGTTCATTGAGCTGACCTGTTGAAATCCTTTCCATGGGACTTTTTCATAACACTGTGAGGGTTTCCTGAAGTATTCTTGAAGTGCCCAGAATCTTCTGTACAAGTTGTAATCAATAGGAGTGGACCTAAAATATTAGTTAACAAAGTTATAAAGGAACATTTTCTCAAAAGACATTTTGTAAATGGAAAGAATGGTTTGTTGTATTATGTGGAGAATATTATCCTTACCCTGTTAAATCCTCCATTTCTCCTTCTTCAACTTCCATAACATCATAAGAAACTTCACGCTGTTGAAAATTTTAAAAAGACAAAAAAAAAAATCATTACTGTTGAGCAAACAACATCCTGATTTCAAACTACTTGCATGTAAATGTGTATAACTTCTAAAAAGACACCAATTTTGAATTATGTATTTACAAGATACTCACAGGTTTAAGTTTAATTTCATCTGACTTAGTTGAGTAGACTGTGACATTTTCTAGGTTAAACTGACTCATGAGATTCAAGGCTGAAACAAATAAAATGCTTTTCATGTACAATTTAGATATTCAAACATGTATCTATAGAAACACTGATAAAAAAATTCATCTCAATCTTATTTAACCGAACAGTCACCAATGTGATCAATCTCTCTTACACCTCAAGGATTTAAAGAATATGATATAAGTAACTTAATTACTCAGATAATCTTGAAATCATATATTTATGTATATGTCTACATTTAAGCTATAAAATTAAATTTTATGTTCCCTGTTCTATTGTATTTATATGTATATAAATGTAATCTTAAGTTATAAAGAATTTTCCCTTGAAATTTTTACCTGATTTTTCTGAGAGGGGAAACAATCTGGACAGGAACAACTGAATTCTACCACAGAACACTGTATTCTGAGATTTACTTAACCTTCTTAGTAAATCTGGAGGGGGAAGAAAAGACAGTCAGTATTTATATAAAAAACTTCTTTCAATGCACAAATGTTGGACTTTTTTGCATAAAATGAACACCAGTACATATAAAACATTCTAGTCCTCACCATTGCACATTCTTAGGAGGTAATTTTTCCCAGCATCATAAAAAAGTGACTACAAACAAACAGAATATGTTTTATGCAAATGATGTAAAATTGGATAACATAGAGCAAATGCTATTTCTAAAGAAAATAAAATGTTGAATTTTACACTGGATTTTGAAGAATGTCTCATCGTAGACTTCTCATTTTCACTGCATGCTAACACAGAATTATCATTGATGTCAGGAAGCAAATTCCTTAGTGAGACTCACCAATTTCCATACAGAAAGTTTATCCTCTACTAAGTAGAAGACAATTTCACACTGGCTCAGTGGAATGAGATCAAAAACATCAGACAGAAGTACGAATGGCATGATTACAGAACACACATCTGTAAAGAAATATTTGTACTGAACACCATTTTTACATGTATTTAGCAAAACTTACTTATAAGAACTTACAAATATAATACATATAACCTGAATTTTTATATACTATATAATTTTGGCATTTTTAGCCATGATCTGGGCAACGCTTTAAAATAGATGTTGATATTTCAATGATCAAGTAGAATATGACAAAATGCTTTTCTCATTTTACAAATTCAATCATTAGAATTTAATGTCAAAGTCAGTGGTATTGAGATATTGAAATTATGACCAAGTTACTCAGAGTACCTCTATTTTTTTATTTTATAAATTTTACCTTCATTTGCCAATTCTATAGAATGTTCAATTACTTCTTTGTAAACCTCACAATCATCAGTCTTCTCCTACAGTTCCATTAACAAATTGTTAATTAATTTTTTTATGAATCAAAAGAAAAAAAAAGAAAGTCTGATGAAATTTATAATATTTTGAGTAATGTATAAGCTCAATACTCAATCATTACAATAAAATTGAGAAAATGTTCACTTACAACAGCATCTTTGATGACATCACGGAGAGCTTGATCAACAGCAAGTTTCTTCTCTGAGTCACTATAAAACAATGCTTTATTACTTATAAGCTCAACAGAATGTGATTTTATTTAAGAAATTAACAACATTCAGTGAACAAAGGATTATGAATAGCAATTGCTCGGCAAATTTAGAAACTCAATAGCTGTGATTTTATTAATTTATACCTACATACAAAATGTAATCTATTGGACAGTATTGGTAATTCATGTCTAATAGGTAATGATTACTAATGAAGATAATATCCCCTTACTTTCCAGCAACTGACTGAAATATTTCTTTCCAATCATAACTGTCTTGCCAAGAATTAAGTTTCTTCTGAAAAGAAAGTAAGTAAATTAAAACACATGTAAAAGTAAATAAGATTCTTTTTTAAATTTCAAAAACATTGTGTGAGAGAATGCAGGTGCAGTCTTCATCCCTCAAAATAGTTGGATAAATGGGTCCTTCACTGCATATCTTCATTTTACCTACATATTTACAATTAAGCAGAAATATTACGGGGTTCGACATTCGCGCTCGTCACCTCGTCATTTCCACCCAGAAATGATTTCGGACGACCTGATTTTCAGCCTGGCTCGCCCAAATGACGACCTGGGACGTACAAGTTGGGAATATTTAATAATGATGTTTAATATTTTAAAATAAACTTCAAAAAATCTTGAAAACATATTTTTCTGTAACAAAACCAACCCATTCAACGTGTTCAAATTGCAGCCGCGTAGATTTTTCTTCCTGCCAAATCTGCGTTCGATCAATCAGCTGATGCAATTTTTAATCAAGGTCTTTAATAAAGTTTTATTTGAGATATAAAATATGCCAACTTAGTCAATGATCACCTTAAATATGTAAATAGTAATAATAATCATCATTGTAACATCTTGCATTCCCCTACAACTTTCTGATCATCTGATGATCGTTTTCTGCTGCTTGACAGCCATGTTGGGTGTCCACTGTAATATAACACCCGATTAATTCAGTCCAGGGTTATTCCATCCTCTATATTTAGGCCTTCATGGCAATGAAAATGAATATCTGGTTTACATTTTTTAATACAAAAGTACACAACTTCTGTTAATTATCTTAACAAATTTTAAACAATTGCACATTAAGTTTTGTTTCATTTGATATTTTATTTGGACGACTTCTGAAATTCCATTGCTTATAATTCATTCGGGCAACCTGTGATCATACCAAGGTTGCCCAAATGGCGAGACCAAATTTTGACGAGTGTCGGACCCTGTATTAAATAGTAATATAGGTTTTCTCTTATAAATGAAATAGGACATAAATGGTCACTAAAAATCTTCAATGGCTGAACCTTTAACTTAATACTAGCTTGTCAGTGACTTAATAGCAAGTGCAGCAAGCTCCACAGACAATGTGTATGAACTGAGGAAATTCAAATAGAAATCTGCACATTGTTCAAAGAAATATTTTTAGTTCATGTGAAAAAATTCCAAACTCCCAATAATCCTATTCAATACATAGTATTAGTAACATGGTTACATAGGCATAGCAACAACTTACTTGAAAACAATTACAGAGAACTCTTTAATGCAAATACCATGCCAAAAAAATATTGTTTGCTTCATCAGTAAACATGACTTAAATCTGTATGTGACGTCATATTTCTGACATTTCAACAACTTGTGTATTTCCGATTAAGTTAGAAAAATCCAAGAAGTTAGGAATCTTGATCCTGATGCATGGAAAGTTGGCAACATCGTCTTGAAATAGCTATCACTAAATGAATGCTTAATGAGTTTACTGCAAAATGTAATAGAGAGCGGTGCAAGCAAACCATCACTTGTCACTGTGAGTTCTTAAAGCAACTCCTGGGCGAAGAGAAAATTTAGACTTTGTTCATTGATCCAAACATATTTTTTTCCGCAGTTACTATGGACCCACAATGCATTGCTTATTTATGCTACATTCTCACGAGAATAGTGGCAAAGGTTCAACATATAATTAACTTGCCTTGATTTAGTGTGTACATATCGGTGAAAAATAGTAAATGAAACAATCTTCATTAACTTTCAGGTTCTTTATTTAATAATACAATTTACATATGATGTTATGTGATGACAGAGTCTAAACGCACCAATGTCACCTGCGGTTTGACGAGCCAGATCTAAATCAAATAATAGAAGTTCTACGCTCGCCCTTACGGTCTAACTGTCAACATATTATGCAGAATGTAAAATGACTTTGGAGAAGATATATAGAGTTGCACATAAATGAACTGGGCTTGCACTAACGGTTTCACCTTATGGAATCATACACACACATTCTTCACATAGATAAGGACACACATTGATTAAGTTCGAAGGCACTTAGTATGACATTCTCCTCGCCTACAACTTCTGAATGTTAGAAAGTTCTATTGTTAAAATGAGTTGATGCTGATGCAGCCAGTCTGACTGAGAGAGCGACTACTAAACACAATCAGACCGTGTTACCATGCAATCGAATTTAGCTTGGAGCCGCAATTTCTAAGACGTAAAATGATTAGAAAGTAACATAAATCAATAAAAAGTACAAATACGAACACAAAAGACATCTCTTGCATTCCCAAACACAAACTTTGTGGAGGCCGCCATTTTTTCAATAAAAAGTAAAGAGTACACCAACATAGTCGTACATTTAAAAGTTTTCTTAATTTTCAAGCGTTTATGTTATCTATCATCCTTAATGACTATCATAAAATAATTTAATCTGTAATTTTTAAAGTGATTTTGTTTTTATGGGTTTTGTGACATATATAGATTCAAATATCGAATTTGTTTTGGAACGACTACTGTACACCGACACGTCAACAAACCAGGAACATGCCTTGGAAGTTAGTGTTAAACCGATTTACTTAAGTAATCAACGATCTCCAGATTTGCACACAATGTTTACACCTTAGACGCATTAGATATGTCAAGATACTTGTCCACGAGTGACACATTGCGCCAGAAAAACGCTGTCGATGGAGCATGTGTGGTAAATGTGAAAGATGCAGAGGAGAGGAGAGATCCAGAGAGAACTGTTAAGTTATGGTTCGTGGATATCTCTGACTTTGGAAGGACATCTCAGTTTTTATTGCTATCTACAGCTGTTTTTGCATCATATTTAATATATGGATATTTGCAAGTAAGTCACTGTATTTTGAAGATTGATTCTCTACCAAAATAATGAAATTCATATCTTAAGAGGCTGAAATTCATTTAGCAGGAGAAGCCAAGTTGGTCACTTGTTGATAAAATCAATATACTAAGTTGACTTTTTAGACCCGTTTGCGTTATATGTAAACAAGAATAGATATGCAGGGTCCGACACTCGTCAAAATTTGGTCTCGCCATTTGGGCAACCTTGGTATGATCACAGGTTGCCCGAATGAATTTCAGGTCGTCCAAATAAAATATCAAATGAAACAAAACTTAATGTGCAATTGTTTAAAATTTGTTAAGATAATTAACAGAAGTTGTGTTTTTGTATTAAAAAATGTAAACCAGATATTCATTTTCATTGCCATGAAGGCCTAAATATAGAGGATGGAATAACCCTGGACTGAATTAATCGGGTGTTATATTACAGTGGACACCCAACATGGCTGTCAAGCAGCAGAAAACGATCATCAGATGATCAGAAAGTTGTAGGGGAATGCAAGATGTTACAATGATGATTATTATTACTATTTACATATTTAAGGTGATCATTGACTAAGTTGGCATATTTTATATCTCAAATAAAGCTTTATTAAAGACTTTAAGTAAAAATTGCATCAGCTGATTGATAGAACGCAGATTTGGCAGGAAGAAAAATCTACACTGCTGCAATTTGAACAAGTTGAATGGGTTGGTTTTGTTACAGAAAAATATGTTTTCAAGATTTTTTGAAGTTTATTTTAAAATATTAAACATCATTATTAAATATTCCCAACTTGTACGTCCCAGGTCGTCATTTGGGCGAGCCAGGCTGAAAATCAGGTCGTCCGAAATCATTTCTGGGTGGAAATGACGAGGTGACGAGCGCGAATGTCGAACCCTGGATATGGGTTACCCCATATCCCAAGATATTCGACTTTTAGATTTAATATGTTTAACAGTGTTTAATGACGTTTATAAGAATAAAACTGCACTATCTAGTTATAGGACTTGTGTATATTTCGTGAGTCCGTAGCATTACGGTCACCCGTCTCCTAACCATGCTAACAAACAGTACACATACCTATATGTCCGCAAGACAGTTAGCCTTGGTCTATACACAAGTGCGGTGGAGTTGTCAAACGGACTCCCGCGAACAGAGAAGTTACGATGGCAGATAGAACTTTTTTTCATAATTAGATCACATGAATACAAATTCTGATTCATAAAAATTAAACTATTGTCAGTTTAGAAATCCCCGGCCAGTTCGGGTTTTGTTACACATTTTACAGATACTCTCCCGATGTGTAGTTTGTCTACACACGTGCAGGAGTCTGCTCAGAGATTGAAAATTCCATCATTTAATATACTACACACACAGAATGATTATTTTTTTTCTCTTAGAGGAAACTATATGATAATTAACGAACAATTAACATGATTTTACTACAGTTGTTGATATAGTATAATCAATTCATCAGTGAAAAAATATCAACCGAAGAATGACCTAGATATTCTCTGTTATCAAACATGTTAAAAAAAAAAAAGCTGAGGAGGGAGCGAGCGTAGGAATATCAAAATTTTTTATTTGCATTTAGGGGGGAAAGTGATCTTTGGAGGAAAAATTAACATTAATTTTGGTTTCTTTAACGAATGACATACACAACATTATTCTTATCATGAACAATTATGTTGTATCTACTTATTAATGATGGAACTGTTTTCGTCGGAACAATTTGTGTGAGTCGCCGCTGACTACAGTAATATATCTTGAACTAATAGTATGCACTGATCGAATATATTAAAAAAAATCTTAACTAATAAAGTATTACATATGTCATACTTTATCTGTTCAATTCAAATTTAGTTTACTAAGGTTTTTTCTGCGCTTGTTATCAATATGATTAATATGTTGATGGTGCGACCATTAGGGCGAGCGCAGATACTTATCCAGTTTTAATTTAGATCGGACTCCTTAAATGGCACGTGACATTTGGTGCGTATAAGACTCTGATGTCACATGATGTCGTTTGCATGTTGCTTTACCAAACTCAAGCTTGAACAGGGCTGATTTAAATCAGTTTATGATTATTTTTCTGCAATAAACAGATAAATTCATTAAATCAAGGCAAGTTTATTTTTCTTTTTTAACTTTTGTCATTATTCTTGCAAGAATATGGCTTTAGCGTTTGTGTTCGAAGCGATGCATTGTGGGTCAAAATTACTGCGGAAAAAAATTCTATGGAATGAATGTGCAGTAGTCCGAATTTTCTCTTCGCCCAGGCGTTGTGGTTAGAGCTCGCAGTTACGCTTTGTGACGCTCGTTGTGCTCGCTATAATGATACATACTACTGGTATATATCCATACTACCATCAAAATCAATTTTGAGAATTTGAAAGAGTAGTATTAGACAGATTTTACAAGAGTTTTCCATCGCCTTCTCTTCTATCAACAGGAGCTTATATTTAGACTGAAGGAGTTCCGTCCATTTGGCTGGTACCTGACACTAGTACAATTTCTCTGCTACTTGGTTTTTGGACTTATTGAAATGCAATTGCGGAATAGTTTCACAAGGAAGTATGACCCCTTTCTATTAAAAAAATTCCTTCATTAGCAATGTCATTGTCTTTTTCCACAGAAAGCAATATGTTTGAACACATTGAACCACTTATTTTTGGATTTTATATACAATGTACTTTAATTTCAGAATTCCTATGAAAATGTATGCACTGCTGGCCTTTTTGACTGTAGCCACCATGGGTCTTTCTAATACCTCTGTGGGATATTTGAATTATCCAACTCAAGTTATTTTTAAATGTTGTAAGCTCATCCCAGTCATGGTGGGCAGCATTCTTATTCAGGGTAAACAACACATACATGTATATCATTCTAGCATTATTATAGAATGAAAATTAAGTCCATCAATACATGTACTTTAACAATGAATTCTACAAATTAAAATTACACTGGTAGAAACAATTTTAATACATGTAATGCCAATTTAGTCTTGAATAGATGGTTTCTATACTTGTTAATTTTTTTGTCTCATCTAGGGAGGAGATATAACTGTATAGATGTCAGTGCAATGATGTGTATGATAGTAGGACTGATATTATTTACTCTGGCAGACAGCAGTGTATCTCCAAACTTCAATACTTATGGTAAATACCAGCTACATAATCCTTGCTTAAATCTGATTTGTAAAGACTGATTTTTGTTCCAAGTTCTTTTAAATATGACCATATCATAGGAAGTTTTCATGTAAATTGGACCATATTGTTAAGAAGAAAGAAAATGGAATTTTGGGGGAAAATTTTGTAACTTTGCTATGGGTGTATGATGATCAATACTGAAAGATGCCTCTCTTTATAGGTGTTATCTTGATCTCTCTGGCACTGTGTGCTGATGGAGCGATAGGCAATGTACAGGAGAAAGCGATGAAGCAGTATGAAGCCTCAAACACAGAAATAGTAAGCAGTGTTTAATTTCCTGGACATGTGGGACCTTCTGATAGAAATTCTAAGCCTCCCATTCCTTAATACATTTATTATTTCATTAATTATACAGGTCTTCTACTCGTATGGATTAGGATTTTTCTACATTTTAATTGGCTTACTACTATCCGGAAATTTCTTTCCAGCCTTTGAGTTTTGCAAACAGGTAAGCTTTTTATGCTAAATTATGAAGAATAATTTTCTCTAATACTCTGGTGACTTGTTCATACTTTGTTACTGATCTTCAAGAACTTTCAGCATCATTAGGTATGCATTGTATCATACTGGTTTTATTTCAGTATCCTGTGCAGACCTATGGTTATGGATTTTTGTTCTCTGTTTCTGGATATGTAGGACTGGCCATCGTTCTTACTCTGGTTAAAACCTTTGGGGCCTTAATCGCAGTAACAGGTGTGTTGTTTCTTGCATGTATTTATCTGTCAATTGATTTTATGTGTAACATATTGCATTCAAGTCCTTTATATTTACATTTACATGTATAGTGTAAGTAAAAGGGTCTGAATTTTACTAATATGAGTCAAAACTTTCAGATGCTAAAAATATTTTTCCTTAAAAGTTGAGTGAAATGCATTTAATTATTTATTTAAAAAAAAAGTAAAAAACATTTTTCTAAAAATTGTTGAAATTAAAATTTGTTAAGTAACTCAGTGATAAAATGGTTATATGAAAGGATATTTGTTTTGCAGTGACCACATGCAGGAAAGCTGTAACAATTATTTTATCCTTCTTTTTCTTCTCCAAACCGTTCACATTCCAGTAAGTGTAAAATGAAATATCTTTGATTTCATCTGGATAATAATAAGCATGTTTACCACAAACACTTAATTTTGGCAAGTACTGGTACATATTTTAATCAATTTTTAAATGTCAATCAGGTGACATGTTTTGCTATCATCAAAACTGCATCTTTTCTGGAAAGATGGTGGCAGCAATCAACTCCGTTATCCCTCCCATTGATTTTTAGGAATGCATTGCAGTATATTCTTATTTTATTTTACAGGTATGTCTGGTCTGGATTACTGGTTGTTTTGGGAATTTATCTCAATGTTTACAGTAAAAACCGTAAATCGTGGGATAAAGTGATATCTGACACTGTTTCTAAAGTGGAAGTCTGTGTTAAACTCAAAAAAGGAAATCCTAGACGTATACTTACTGATGTTTGATTGTAGTTATATGAATCTTATGATACTTGTCATGGGTATAAACTTGTTAAACCAAGGGATACTAGTCGTAATATTTGGGTCTTTTTTTTTTATCAAAGATTGTCCATCGTCAGTCCTTTTTCCGTCTTTGGATACATTTTTAACTCTGTTTAAGACTTACGGGAAATGATTCAATTTTAACCAAACTTTTGCAAACCATCCTTGATTGTTAAATATTTCAGTTAGACCAAAGACATGCTCCATTTCATTTGGAGACAATAAGAAACTAGAGGTAGTATTAGCACTCATGTGCTTTGAAAAGGCTACCTACAGTTCCCATAGAATAATGGCATATTCCTTTTTTTGTATTGGAAACCTCAATTATGTCAGAACAGAACATAAAAAAGGAGGTGCAAACTGTCATTTTGTAATAAGAATTCAAAAATAAAAATTAGTTAAGTATCTCATAAGACATTATATTTTATTTAGAAGTAGGAAGAGTTCCTTTTTATAATAAGATGTATATACAACCCCAATGTTATTGAAAGTTATTAGTTACTAGTTACTTAACAAAGTAAAAAAAAAAATCACAATATTCTACTCTGAAAGTGAATGCCTCAAAGTATTCTTTATGATTCTGTGAAAATTTCTACTATTTAATATCTGTCAATGATTTTGTTGTTGTTGTTCATATCACTCTTATTTTGCTTTATTTTTGTTAAAAAATCTCATTTTAGTGAATACCTAAGTAGGTTATTCCTAATGGAGACCACCATAACTTTTGTGTTACACATGTATTTAATCTCTCTGTACAATTATTTTTCTTTTTTTAAAAAACAGATTCTTTCTGTATAATTTGTTATTTTACAAAATGAATTTGTTTCTATTGTTTACTTCAAATTATACTAACGGAAACACAATATCTCCTCTTAATGCCATTTTTTTCCTTTTCATGCTAAAGGGATTTATCGATAAACATGTTTTCCCCAAATGTGGCCTTACAGCCAAACACTTACACAGATACAGATAGTTATATATTTATCATGTGTAACAATGTATGTTTTCTTTTTAAAACATACATGTTTGTATATCAATATTTTCTTTTACTTTTTCTTCCTATGTAAAGACATTGACAGTTGTGACATTTTATGGTGAGACCTCGTAAGTTGTTAGAACTTGTGTTTAAACCATTTGTACTGTATTTATACAATAAAATATGTCCAAACAGAAAAGTGGCATTTTTAAATTACTTTATAAATTGTTGTTCCAGAGCTTTGTAATATATGTACAGTAAAACTCGGTTATAGTGAAGTCCTGGGGACCTGTGAATTTAATTCGCTATATCCGTAATTCGTTATGTTCGTATAACAAATTTGTATAACCATATATAGCGAATTCGCAATATGCATGTTTTCCTTCAAGTGTTTCTACCAAATGCTTTAGGGAAGCAAATATTACAAAACATACCTTCGATAACTAAGGTTTTATTATGAATTGAATTTTTATATTCAAATGCTAAAAGAACATAAAGTCAGTTCAATTTATCAAATTTTGAGATCTTTGAAAGTTCGTTATAAAAGATGTAAATTTCATTATATTTAACCTCAACGGGACTCGAAATCAGTTCGCTTTATTCGTAAATTCGTTATATCAGAGTTCGTTATAACCATAAAATTTTATGAAGATTTGTTAAAATTTTTGCTGGGGATCCGGAAAAACATCGCTGTATCCGTGAATTCGCTATATCCGTGTTCGTACTAAACAAGTTTTACTGTATACATGTACTACTTGTAATTTGATAATTTAAAATACACATTTTGAGGAGGTATTTTTTAATAGGACAAGGTTTATTTTCAAACAAAAAATACGTTATTGAAAATAAAATGTTTTCTTGTATTTTCTTACTGGAGTGTCCATAGATTTTCATCTACCAAGGAATCATCATTGTTCCTCAGGAGCCATTGTTCCTGGATTTCATGGGCCACTTAAACCTACCGTACAAGTGGAAATTTCAGTGAGACGCAAATTTAGCGATTTCTCCTTAAAAAGTGGTATTTTATTTTTAGCGAGATGTAGTTTTAGTGATTTTAAAATGCTGAATAAAGAATCTATTGCTAATAAAACGCAATGAATTTTTAGTGGTATTCAATTTTAGAAATCTCAGCCCCCTTGCTAATAATGCCAAAATTTAAATCCTCGCTAAAAATTCTACTTATACAGTATAAATTCATATCCCCACAGAAATAAATTCATTGGAAAAAATTGATTCACGGTGAGAAATATTCTAGAACACAAAAACTCGTAAATTTCTGACTTGTCAATAAAATGAACAAGAGGCCCATGGGCCACATCGCTCACCTGAGCACTATGGCTGGGAAAAAGTAGAAATTGGATTATTACTGAATAGTTTATATCCAAAAGTAGTCCCATGACCAATCATGGCTTTGGTATTCTTGATAAGGCCATTCCAAGTTTTTTCTATGTTTAGCGTCCGCGTGCGCCTTGGTTTTTGAATCCCATGTCAGAAACAAGAGGCTCATGGGCCACATCGCTCACCTGAGCACTGTGGCTAGGAAAAAGTAGAAATTGGTTTATTATTGAAAAGTTTAAATCCAAAAGTAGTCCCATGACCAATCACGGCTTTGCTGTTCTTGAGAAGATATTTTTAAAAATTTTCCTGTATATTTCTATGCAAAAAATTTGGTTGGCCAATGTGGCCCCACCCTACCCCCCGGGGTCATGATTTGAACAATCTTGAATCTACACTACCTGAGGATGCTTCCATATAAATATGATCAACTATGGCTTTGCAATTTTTGAGAAGAAGATTTTAAAAAAAATTCCTATATATTTCTATGTAAAACTTTGGCTGGCCATTTTTGCCCGGCCCCTACCCCCGGGGGTCATGATTTGAACAAACTTGAATATACACTACCTGAGGATGCTTCCATATAAATATGGTCAATTATGGCTTTACTATTCTTGAGAAGATTTTTAAAGAATTTTCCTCTATATTTCTATGTAGAAACTTAGTCGGCCATTGTGGCCCCGCCCTACCCCCGGGGTCATGATTTGAACAAACTTGAATCTACACTACCTGAGGATGCTATAGTGGTTCTTGAGAAGAAGATTTTTAAAGAATTTTCCTATATCTTTCTTTGTAAAACTTTGGTCAGCCATTGTGGCCCCGCCCTACCCCAGGGGTCACGATTTGAACAAACTTGAATCTACACTACCTGAGGATGCTTCCATATAAGTTTCAGCTTTTCTGGCACAGTGGTTCTTGAGAAGAATATTTTTAAAGATTTTTTCTAAATATTTCTATGTAAAACTTGGATTCCCTATTGTGGCCCCGCCCTACCCCCGAGGGTCATGATTTGAACAAACTTGAATCTACACTACCTGAGGATGCTTCCTTATAAGTTTCAGCTTTTCTGGCATAGTGGTTCTTGAGAAGAAGATTTTTAAAGAATTTTCCTATACATGTATATTTCTATGTAAAATTTTGGTCAGCCATTGTCTCCCCACCCTACCCCCGGGGGTCATGATTTGAACAAATTTGAATCTACACTACCTGAGGATGCTTCCATATAAGTTTCAGCTTTCCTGGCACAGTGGTTCTTGAGAAGAAGATTTTTCAAACATGCCAACAAATTTTTATTAATTCCCAATTATCTCCCCTTGAATGAGGGCATGGCCCTTCATTTGAAAAAAAGTGAATCCACTTCACCCAAGGATGCTTTGTGGCAAGTGTGGTTGAAATTGGCCCAGCGGTTCTTGAGAAGAAGTCGAAAATGTGAAAAGTTTACAGACGGACAGACAGACGAACTACAGACAAAGTGTGATCAGAAAAGCTCACTTGAGCCTTCGGCTCAACTAGAGGTATTGTGAGCAATGAGCTAAGTGATACCCCCCCCCCCATATGAAAATAATGGAATTGTCCATATTTTGTTGTGGGAGACCAAAATATGTGTCGGATCAAAAAGTAAAATAGGAGGTGCACAATGGCAATATGTAATAAAGACTGTGAAAGTTTCATCAAATTTAATTCAGTGGTATGAGAGGAGTTGCGGATAATAGATGGGTACCCTGAAGCGTAACAGACAGACGGACGGACATACCGATTACTATGTACCCTCCCACTTTTAAAGGGGTATAATGAGAGCAATTAAGACCCAACTCATATTAAAAAAAATTTGTAATAAAACAGAAAATGATCTTGCTTGCCATCCGTTGTGTGCATTTTATTATACCCCTCGCTTGAAAAGCGGGAGGGTATATAGTAATCGGTATGTCCGTCTGTCCGTTTGTTATGCTTTGGGGTACCCATCTCTTATCCGCAACTCCTCTCATACCACTGAAGGAAATTTAATGAAACAGAAATTGAGATTCCACGGAATTATGACCCCATGGAAAAAAGTAACTCTACAATATCTATACCGGGAAAATCTAAAATTACATGTAGAGATGGACATGGATGTCCACTGTCTTATGTTCATTTACTATAAGCAAAATGAAACAAGAAGTGTTTGTCAAACACTCAGATGCCCCTACCCTGAATTTTTTGGATTATTTTATAGTTTTAATATTTTTTTTAAAAATACACAACAAAAATTCTACTTTTCTTCAGTATTAGGTATAAAGTGTATGGCACTTTCTGAAAGTGCAAGGATGTGTGAATCAAATGAGTCCCAAAATTGGTAGTTAAAAAAATATATTTTATTGGAAATGCTATGCTATAGTAACATGTGAGTTATGAAACATGTATTATGTTCAGAAAATATGAACTCCAAATCTATGTCCCCTTTTTAAAATAACTGTGGAAAAGAATTACAACTAAAACTAGTTTAAATATGAGAATAAGAGTTCTTTTTCAACTTGTAGGCATCAACTCAAAAGTGTTAATTAATTATTCATTCGAAGGATCAACAAATTAAGTTGCATATGAAAATAATGATTTTGTATTCATTTCAGCAAAACACTGCTAGATTATTGAAGATACTATTTGCTAGAAATTGTTTGATAAGATAATTGATGCATTGTACATACCAGATGAACTGATATTTTACAATGATTTTTTAAAAGTTTGATCATTTGAGTGTTCATTAAATTAGCACTCCATAGTACGTACATTCAGTAATGTACATATAAACACCAAAACTTCTCCTCTGCTTTTAAGGGCTTGGAACCTTCTGCTTGAAATAACATGTTAATTCAAGCAGGCAGCATTAAAAGTTTTGTGCCTTTTTTTTTCCATTTTTTTCTTTTTCTCTCACTTTTTATTTTTGTTTTTTTTGTTTTTTTGTTTTTTTGCTTTTTTGTTTTTTATTTCACAATTTTTTTTGCAGTTTTTTTTTTGTGTGTTTTTTTTTTCTTTCTTTTTTTCTTTTTCTTTTCTTTTTTTTTTTTTTTTGTTTTTGTTTTGTTTTAATTTTATTTCTTTTTTTTTTTTTTTTTTTTTTTTTTTTTTTTGCACAAAACTTGCCAATGAGATAAAAATAATTTCAAATTTACAATTCAAAATTCAACATGACAATTCACATTTTCACATCAACAATATACAATTGCATTAAACAATCACAATTTAACAATTTAAATCATTGATATAACATTAACAAATCACAAATTAACATTTACAAATCACTGGCAATTTAACATTTGTCATTGATGCAAATCACTATTTTACGTTTTCAAATGCAATTTTACAATTTTATATTCCTTTCTTTCACGGCATATTTTGTCACATCAGTATATATAGGGCATTCAATTTCACTATAAGCTAATAACGAAAAGGTGACTACCTAGTATATACAAATTATTCTTTCTACAACAGCTGACAGAATTTACACATTCTATGAATACTTATGTCCTATTATACAATCATTACATCAGCTGAAACATATTTAACTTCATCAAAACAATTACAATAATGAACAAAAACGGATTTTCTCATTGGCATAATAATAAAAAAAAAATTAAAGACAAAGCAGCTCTTTTGAGATCCAACTAGTCAATTCCTTTGTACTCCTCAAAGAGACCCGATATTACCAGAAAATGTGCTGTTTTTAAAACCGTGAGGGGCCAAAAAGTGAAGGCCCATAATTTTTAAACTCTTCAGTAATGCCCCTAAAATTAGGAAGTATCGAATTAAAAAATAAAGAAAAACTTACAACTAAAATCCCTTTTATTTTTCAACTATCTTCATCTTAACAATATGAATATATAGCTAATGAAGAACAAAGAGAAAGCTGGGGTCAGTGTGGGACTCATTAAAGACGGAAGTACTCTTCAGATGCATACCAAAATTGGAACATAGACAGCATATGTCAAAACATGGGCAAAGGGAGACCCCATACTAAAAGACTTAAAAATTCAATATTTCAGGTCTGACAACTCCTATAACGGACCATATTTTTCGGACACCCTTTACAAAAATTTATATTTTTAAAAATCTTTGAAAAAAAAATTGTTTTTACTAAAATGGATTTTTACATCAGTGCTTTAAAGATGTGGATTAATCATTAATTAATTCCTGCGTGATTTCAAATTAACAAAGAATCCACACACATGATCTCAAGGATGTATCCTACTAAAAGTTCCTTTGATTCTCTGTAAATGAACAAGGCAAAAGGTAATTTCAGGTTTGAATAAAATAAATTATATAAGAGTCCTATATATCTGAAATTTGCTCACCTAAAATTAAAAATGTTTTTGGCTTCTTTAGTAAAAAGCAGAAATCAAGTGACGTATTAGAAACCAAAACATTTTCAACAGACATTTGCATGTTCTTAAAGAGTTAAAATAAAAGTGATCTTCAAAGGTTATTCTATTTGACAGAAAAGTGCAGAATAATAATAATAAAAAAGACGAAAACAACATTTTTGCTCGAAAAGCTGTTGTTTCTGTTGCATATAAACATTAAAAGAAAAATATATTTAACAATAAAAAAATCATATAATACAATACAAAAGAATAAATTTTTGGAAACATGACAGTTCTATTTGTACATCAGTGTCTACACAAAGAGACATAACTCTCGTGGAGAAAACATATAGAAAATGTACTGTTTTTCAACATTTTTCAGGGGAGGGCTACGGCCCATAATTTTTACTGTATTCTTTATGCTTGTTGTAATACCAAAATTAGTTTGAAGATTGGTGAGAATTTAAAAATGTTATAGAGAAAAAGCCGTTTTCTGTGACCCCTAAAATCCTTTCTATTTTAGGGATTTTTTTTTCATGACCTTACCATGGAGACAATGCTGAGTCAATTCATATGAAATTTCAAGAGAATTGCTTGCCTACCTTTTAAGATAATGGAACAACAGTTTATATGAAATCTCCATAGGCAATTTTAAGCACTCATAAAACCGGAAGTACTCTTTATGTGCATACCAAAATTAAAACGTAGAGAGCATATTAGACTCCAAATAGGACAACAAATAGAGATAACTCTTACATCATTATTTTTGAAAAGACTTTAAAATACAATATTTCAGGTCTCTAAAACTTATAATCAAAAACCACTGTACCATATTTTTTAAATTGTTCAACAACAACATAAAACTGTTTGAAAATTTAGAAAAATAAAAAAGTTACAGGCAAAAGTTTGTATTCAATCTTGGCCCCAGAATCCCTTATTTTATTTTAATTTTTAGATACTTTTAATAAAAATGGTATTCTTAAAATTTCACAAGGAAATTTTCATTACTTTACCTTGACCTGTGATTTCTTAATGTAAAAAATTTTCAAAGACTATGATTTGGAATGAAATAAAATATATGCTCTCATATACCTATCAGTAAGCTATTCACTGTTATTCCTGACTTTTGAAAAAATCAACTTCTGCAATGTTTGAAGGCTTATATAAATGTGGTCAAAAACGCCTATGCAATTTTTTAAATAGAACTTGAATTTCAAAAGTATTTTTCTTGTTGAAAGGAAGAAAGATTTTGGGGTTTTAAGGAATTTTTGTTTTTCTTTTCTACAAACCGGAAGTGACATTGAAAACCAAAACCTTACATTCAGTACACCTTTGCATGATCTTTAAGATGGTTATAAAATAAAATGTATATTTTAAAAGAATCTCCTTAAATCTGTGACAGAAAAGTGTTCAGAAAAAGAATAATAAAAAAGACGAAAACAATAGGTCTTTTCGACAAAAGTCGAAAAGCCCTAATAATGAACCATTTTCTCATTGGCATAATAATAAAAAGATAATTAAAGACAAAGCAGCATCCAACTAGTCCCTTTCAGCTTCTCCTCCCTGAGCCAGCCTGGCAACCGTGGCGGCGAAGGAACTTAAGTTCCAACCAGTAATGCCCCTAAAGCCTACTTACAACTAGCCTTCAACAAAACAATTGAAAATATAGCTAATGAAGAAGAAAGAGAAAGCACTAGAGTCTTTTTGAAAAAAACATGCTGTTTTAAAATGGATTTACAATTCCTTTTGGGATGTAATCATTAATGTTTTCACATATTGGATCCACACATTGTCTCAAGGATGTTCCGCAAAAGTAATGGCCTTGATTCTCTGTAAATTAACAAGTCTTTTTTAAAAGGTAATTTGTTTGCTTTAAAATCTTAAGAAGAGACCTATATTACCTTTTGGGTGTAGGCTAGGAAAAAGCAGAAATCAATACAGTACTTGGAAATATTTTCACAACATTAGTTTTCTTAGCTATTTGGCTTAGTGAAACAACATTTTTCAAGCTTGTCATATTTAATTGCAAATATACACAAGAATTTTTTTGGCTGCAGCTGCAGTAAAATTTTCACTCATATAAAATGCAACATTTTTCAGGGGAGGGCTACAAATGTACACCTATACTTTATTAAGGCTATAGAGCAAATCCTCACCTTTGGCACCACAGTTTAACTTTTTAAGGATAATTCTTTATACTTGTACTCATAGCAGTGGTTACCACTGTACCATATATATTAAAATGTAATGGGGGCAAAAATAGCATCAATTAATTGGTATTCAGTAAAGACCTTGCTTAATGTAAAAAATAAGATGATTTGGAACATGATAATGTCATATAAATATCAGCTATTCACTGTGACTTTGAAAAAGTCAACATCCATCAGGCATAAATTGTCCTCCAGGTGTTTCCACCAAGTCTTGTTGGGAACATCTACATTTTGAAGATCATTGTCCATCAATTTTTCCACCAATTCCTTTTGGGTGTAGCTGGTGTTTTCACATAGTCAAGATTCATAATTTGCCTCCTCAAAATTTATTTCACTTTATTTGCTGTTTTATCTTTCCACCAATGAGCTGGTGTTTTCACATATTGGATTATCATTGTCAATCAAGTTTGCCGCAATATTAATAATGGCCTTGTCTCCTCAAGATTTATTTCACTAAGTCTTTTTAGAAGTATTTGTTGCTTTCCCATCTTTCCACCAATTCCTTTTGGGTGTAGCTGGTGTTTTCACATATTGGAAAATCATTGTTTTCGCATCTTAAAAGAGGTTCATCAAGCTTGTCTATTTCAGTTGTTTCCACAAGGTTCTGTTGGCTGCAGCTGCAGTAAAAGTCAGAAGAAAATAATTGGAGAAAATACATCCCTGAAGTTTTTAAGGAAAATCCTCATTTAACTTTTTAAATAATTGTTATGTTGTCTCAACAGTGGTTACACATATATATTATTAAGCAAAAATTCAATATTGGTGTAAAGAGTTGGTTTATCTAGCTGAACACCATAACAAAATTCAGCTATTGCTGACTTTAAGAAATAAGACCAGCTAAAATTTTAGCCAGCTAGTTAATTTGACTTTGTTAATGAAATGATCGTAGATTTTGATAATGTCACATACCTGATAAATGTCAGATCAGCATCCTTTGGCTATTCATCCTCCAGTTGTTTCTATCAGGTCCTTTTGGGTTCATCTACTGTTTTCACCATGTACTGTTGGGTGCATTTGCTGTTTCCACATCTTGGAAGATCAGCAAGTACTGGCTATGCATCATCAAGTTGTTTCTATCCATGTCCAGTTGGGTGCATCTGCTGTTACACAAGTCTTGTTGAGGACATCTGTGGTTTCCACATCTTGGAAGATTAGCATCCAATGGCCCTGTCTCCTCCAGCTGTTTCCACCATGTCATGCCCTTGTTTACAATCACAAGCTTTCTTGTCTCTGACCAGTAGAGCTAAAAATAAGTCAGGCTAAAAATAAAAAGTCAGCTAGTAAATTTGACATGGTTAATTAAATGATCTTTAATATATAAATATTGCATGCAGTTGAGTGTATATTATACTGAATGTTTTATACAAATACATATGTATTTGTGAACCATGTTCACAAATACCACAGTTCACAGTGAACCGTGCACGCATAAATTCTGTGCAGTCGCTATTTTTGGAAATAGCACCCGTCGTCAAGCAATGTTGACTGTTGCTATCCTTGAGGGCATGGCTTCATTATTCAGCGGGTAATAGTGTTTTTTTAACAGATGTTCCTCCACCAATCAGATTCAACTAATTTACATGAAAGTATAATATTTTTGATTATCTCATACACATATACCTGATCAGTGTCATTATCTCGTTTGATATGTCTTGTTTGGAAGGTCAACATCATCAGGTAAGTCTCCTCCAGTTGTATCTACTGTTTCCACCATGTCCTGTTGGGTCCATTTGCTGTGTCCACCATTGCCAGTAGGGTACATCTACTGTTTCCACCATGTCCTGCTGGGTCCATTTGTTGTCTCCACCATTGCCAGTAGGGTACATTTACTGTTTCCACCATGTCCTGCTGGGTCCATTTGTTGTCTCCACCATTGCCAGTAGGGTACATCTGCTGTTTCCACCAAGTCCAGTGGAGTGCTTTTTCTGTATCCAACAAGTCCTTTTGGATACATCTGCTGTTTCCACCAAGTCAAGTGGAGTGCATCTGTTGTTTCCACCATGTCCAGTTGGATACATCTGCTGTTTCCACCATGTCCAGTGGAGTGCATCTGCTGTTTCCACCAAGCCCAGTGGAGTGTAACTGCTGTTTCCAAAAAGGCCAGTTGGGCGCATCTGCTGTTTCCACCAAGTCAAGTGGAGAGCATCTGCTGTTTCCACCAAGGCCAGTTGGGTGAATGTGCTAAAAATATCAACAGCTTTATTTCACTGCATGCATTTTACACTAAAATACCCTAGCCAGTCCCTTTCAACTAAGATTTCATTTCCTTAATTTCTTAGATTTACATTTTTATTCTGTTCCTAAATTTTTGGTCTTTGATTTGTTTAAAATGAATGCTTAATAAAGGTGACCACTTATAATAAAGTTTTATAAGATATTTCATTGAAAAAAATAAAATGACCACCTAAGAAAGATCTCTGCTGTATGAAGGTGATTACTATGAAGTTTGGCTGTATATAATATTGATTTGAAATGGAACATTATAAATCTATAATCTAACAATAATACTTCATTTCATTTTTCTATATACAGCAAAACTTGTTTAGTACGAACAAGGATATTGCCAATTCACGGTTATAGCGAAATTATCTTGGATCTCAGTGCTTAATAAATTTAACGAATTCCTTATATGGATATAAGGAATTATGGATATAGAGAAGTAATTTTATAGGTCCCGGTGACTTCGTTTTAACCAAGTTTTACTGTATTTTTCAATTATTAACAATTCAACATTTTCTATCTTACCTTATCGATGATGGTTTAGAATTTGGTTTATTTCTCTTCTTCTTTAGTGAATTGTCCACCTATAAAATACTAACAAAATTTTAGAATTATAAGAGCTGAAATAATAGAGACTGAGTAAAACTCATTTGGTACAAACACAGATATTGTGAATTCACAGATAATAGTGAAATTATATTTAATCCCTAGCTATATAAATTTTACTAAAATCATTACATGGATATAACAAATTATGGATATAGCTAAGTTATGTCATAGGTCCCAGTGACTTCGTTATAACCGAGTTTTACTGTAATAAGGCCCTCAATAAGACAGGTGCTTTGGGTGAAACACACTGTTTCCTCCTTATCCAACATGTCTAATGATGATGCTAATGCACAATGCAACAATGAACATTAGACATATTCTTAGGAATAATAAATGCAATAACAAATAAAAATCACAACAATAATAATTAACAAAAATTCATAACTATCATAACAATTAATTAAAAATCTCAACTAAAGCAAATAACTACAACACATAACTATAACAAATAACTTAACTCATAACAACTAATTAAAGCTCATAACAATAACAACTAACTTACACTCATAACAATAACAAATAATAAAAAAATCACAAACAACAGCAAATAATTTAAGCTCTTAACAAGTAAAACTCATGACTGCCTCAATAACAAATAACTTAAACTCATAACAATGTCAACTAATAAAAACATTAAAACATAATGTAACAATTAACAAATAAAACACGAAAATTAACAACTTTTAAAACCCTCACAAACAAAAAACTATAATAACAACTCAATAAACAAATAACAATTATAATAAAAACCTAATGAGCAAATAACAACAAATACTAACAAAGGAAACAAAATATAAACCAAAAAGTAAGAGCTAAAATAACAAAAAAAAACCTAACATCGAAGAAATACAAAAAAACCTCCACTCCAGCGTTGTTGGTATGCTGTTCCAATCCAATATGCCCAGCCTCCTCCTAGTCCTCTAATGATGAAGAACCATCCCCCTCCAAGTGCACCATCTCCAACGATGACATCCAGGCAAAGAGAGAACAGAAAAGATTAGACAAAGAAAAAACAACAGAACAAAAGAACTACTACTACAAAAAATGTGTTGAGAGGGGAAGGGGAGGGAAATGTTAGTACTAATTAGTAAGATTGCAAAAATGATAATGAAACCAACTCACCTCTGCTTTTCCTTAACAACTTAGCAATACCTTCGTTCCAGCGTTGTTGGCATGCTGTTCCAATCCAATATGCCCAGCCTCCTCCAACGATGAAGAGCCAGCAGCCTCCAAGTGCACCATCTCCAACGATGACATCCCGGCAAAGAGAGAACAGAGAAGATTAGACAAAGAAAAAACAACAGAACAAAAAAAACAAAAGGAAAGAACTACTACAAAAAATGTGTTTAGAATGGGGGAGGGGAGAGAAATGTTAGTACAAATTAGTAAGAGTGCAAAAATGATAATGAAACCAACTCACCTCTGCTTTTCCTTAACAACTAAGCAATACCTCTGTTCCAGCGTTGTTGGCATGCTGTTCCAATCCAATATGCCCAGCCTCCTCCGAGTCCTCCAACGATGAAGAGTCAGCAGCCTCCAAGTGCACCATCTCCAACGATGACATCCCGGCAAAGAGAGAACAGAGAAGATTAGACAAAGAAAAAACAACAGAACAAAAAAACAAAAGGAAAGAACTACTACAAAAAATGTGTTGAGAGTGGGGGAGGGGAGAGAAATGTTAGTACTAATTAGTAAGAGTGCAAAAATGATAATGAAACCAACTCACCTCTGCTTTTCCTTAACAACTAAGCAATACCTCTGTTCCAGCGTTGTTGGCATGCTGTTCCAATCCATTATGCCCAGCCTCCTCCAACGATGAAGAGCCAGCAGCCTCCATGTGCACCATTTCCAACGATGACATCCCGGCAAAGAGAGAACAGAGAAGATTAGACAAAGAAAAAACAACAGAACAAAAAACAAAAGGAAAAAACTACTACAAAAAATGTGTTGAGAGGGGAAGGGGAGGGAAATGTTAGTACAAATTAGTAAGAGTGCAAAAATGATAATGAAACCAACTCACCTCTGCTTTTCCATAACAACTAAGCAATACCTCTGTTCCAGCGTTGTTGGCATGCTGTTCCAATCCAATATGCCCAGCCTCCTCCAACGATGAAGAGCCAGCAGCCTCCATGTGCACCATCTCCAACGATGACATCCCGGCAAAGAGAGAACAGAGAAGATTAGACAAAGAAAAAACAACAGAACAAAAAACAAAAGGAAAAAACTACTACAAAAAATGTGTTGAGAGTGGGGGAGGTGAGGGAAATGTTAGTACAAATTAGTAAGAGTGCAAAAATGATAATGAAACCAACTCACCTTTGCTTTTCCATAACAACTAAGGAATACCTCTGTTCCAGCGTTGTTGGCATGCTGTTCCAATCCAATATGCCCAGCCTCCTCCTACGATGAAGAGCCAGCAGCCTCCATGTGCACCATCTCCAATGATGACATCCCAGCAAAGAGAGAACAAAGAAGATTAGACAAAGAAAAAACAACAGAACAAAAAACAAAAGGAAAGAACTACTACAAAAAATGTGTTTAGAGTGGGATAAAGAAAAAACAATAGAACAAAAAAACAAAAAGAAGGAACTACTACAAAAAATGTGTTGAGAGTGGGGGAGGGGAAGGAAATGTTAGTACTCATTAGTAAGAGTCCAAAAATGATAATGAAACCAACTCACCTCTGCTTTTCCTTAACAACTAAGCAATACCTCCACTCCAGCGTTGTTGGCATGCTGTTCCAATCCAATATGCCCAGCCTACTCCTCCAATGATGAAGAACCAGCTGCCTCCAAGTGCAACAACTCCAACGATGACATCCCGGCAAAGAGAGAACAGAAAAGATTAGACAAAGAAAAAACAATAGAACAAAAAACAAATGGAAAGAACTACTACAAAAAATGTGTTGAGAGGGGAAGGGGAGGGAAATGTTAGTACTAATTAGTAAGAGTACAAAAATGATAATGAAACCAACTCACCTCTGCTTTTCCATAACAACTAAGCAATACCTCTGTTCCAGCGTTGTTGGCATGCTGTTCCAATCCAATATGCCCAGCCTCCTCCAATGATGAAGAGCCAGCAGCCTCCATGTGCACCATTTCCAACGATGACATCCCGGCAAAGAGAGAACAGAGAAGATTAGACAAAGAAAAAACAACAGAACAAAAAACAAAAAGAAAGAACTTCTACAAAAAATGTGTTGAGAGTGGGGGAGGGGAGGGAAATGTTAGTAGTAATTAGTAAGAGTGCAAAAATGATAATGAAACCAACTCACCTCTGCTTTTCCTTAACAACTAAGCAATACCTCCACTCCAGCGTTGTTGGCATGCTGTTCCAATCCAATATGCCCAGCCTCCTCTTCCAATGATGAAGAGGCAGCCGCCTACAAGTGCACCAACTCCAATGATGACATCCCGGCAAAGAGAGAACAGAGAAGATAAGACAAAGTAAAAACAACAGAACAAAAAGAAAAGGAATGAACTACTACTAAAAATGTGTTGAGAGTGGGGGAGGGGAGGGAAATGTTAGTACTAATTAGTAAGACTGCAAAAATGATAATGAAACCAACTTACCTCTGCTTTTCCTTAATGACTTAGCAATACCTTCACTCCAGCATTGTTGGCATGCTGTTCCAATCCTATATACCCAGCCTCCTCCAAGTCTTTGTAATACCATCTCCAACAATGAAGTGTCCGCAAAGAGAGAACAAAGAAATCCATTCCAGTGTTGTTTGCATGCTGTTCCAATTCATTTTGCCCTTCCTTCTCCAAGTCCTTATTACTTCAACTTCATAATGAAGTGCTGGGAAATTGAGAAGAAGGAATAAGGTGAAAAAAGGC